TGAAGCCCACCTGTTGGAAAATCTGCCAAGATCTGAGCTCCACTGGGCTTGGAGCTCTTTCTCCCCCTACCTGCCCTCCCTATTGCCTGGATGAGGCTCCAACTTGATCAGTAGGCAACCAACATGCCACTAATTAGGAGGCACAAGGCATAGCGGAGGATGATTAGCTCATGATGAGCACACATTGCCTAGAGTTGTCTTGTTACCATTATAAATCGATTAGAAATCTGGGGAGCATCTACAATTTCCCCTCACAGAGGAGAATCTGAAACTGACAGGTTGACATGAGAATGTGTCAAGGAAAGCTTTGTAGTTGACAAAGACTTACTTATTTATCTACACTCCCCTCTCCCCTCTTCTTCCCTTGGCGCCCCTCCCTCAAAATGTCCCAGCTGCCAATGGAAGAAGCCCAGCAATTCTCTAATTGAACCATAAAATTTTGGAAGGTCAGTGCAAAACAAAAAACCATTGTGGTGCTCCGAGGACCAGGTGTGTTGTTTATGGAGACAATTATGTGCCTTCCAGGTGATTCTACCTAGAAACCAAGAAAGACAGATTAGTGACAAGAAAAGCAAATTTCTTCTGTCTCTGTTGCTTCTCCACGGCCTCCTTTCTCTCCCACCCACCGTGCTTGGACACACTGGTAAGTGCAGCCAGTTCCTGGAACACTGCCAGCGACAACCCTTTGCAAGGGAGAACCAGCACCAGAAAAGACCCTCCTCATAAGAAGGGGCTGCTGGGAGAGGCTCCAGGGAGGAGGAGAAGGACCTTCTGGGTGGGGAGAAACCCCTGCAGCCCAAAAGACTTCAGCACACGGGCTCTTTGGGTACAGACATTTCAGCTGATGAAATCTGTTCCTTGGGAACCAGACCACATACTTCCTCAGGAGTAAATAGCTAAAGGCCCGGCTTATGTGGTTCATTTCCAATAGCTAAGAACAGGGCTGCTCCCCAGAGACTAAGCCATAATGACAGAAGGCAGGTGTGCCTGTCGTGATCTATTTTCCTCTCTCTTTGCTGACATTTTGAAAACAATCTGCATCTTGTGCTCATTCTCCGAAAGAGTTCTCTTTGAGCTGTGACCAGAGTTGAAGGCAAGAAACCACATCCTTGGTACCTCTAGATCTATAAAAGTGTATTTTTTTCTTTTACAAATAATTGTTTTATCTGATTAATTTTCCATGTGTGAAGATAAGGAACTTAAATCAGTGACCACCAGAGAGGTTTTGAGGGACCCCAGGACCTGGAACGGCACATATCAACACAAAAACTTTGTATGAGAAGGGAGAGGAATTAAGAAGCAAGGCCAAACTGTTTGGGTCCCAGTGGCCCAGCTACCCCCAGGGCATCACCGCATTTGGCAAGAAGGAGCATGTTTCACCACCTGAGAACCTCCGGTTTTCAAGTTTATGAGGCATTTGTGGCAGCCTTCATTAGAGGTGTCCATTTTTTGTCCCTTTCATATGGTCCAAAGAAAATTGTATCAGTTATATAGTTTTACAAAACCAGTAAAAGGAGCAGCGACTTTGGGGATCAAGGTTGTAAATAGTTGATTTTAACCAAAATGCTCTTCCTTCTGAGGAGACACCGAGGGAGATGGCATGTCTCCCCATGTAATTCTGACTTCTCTCCCTGGAATAACAGCCCTGGGTGAGAGACTATTAGATAATTTTTACAACTTAAGGCCAGGGAGGAAAATGATCCAGCACAACAGAACTAGAGCTTCTCAAATTCATTATCTGTTAAGCCCTAGTTATTGTGTGTGTGTTTGCATAAATCACCTAATTGGATCTGGGTTCTAATCCTGCAAGATAGATCATCAATTTATAGATAGGGAAATTGGACCTTGATTATGCCATTTGATCTTTTTGGGTCTCAGATACCTGAAAGGTAATGGATCCAAGTTTTATTGAGACTTAGTCTCTTAATAAATTGCACTCCAGTAGCAGCTCTCCTCCCTTTTTTGTATACAATGTCCCATTGATTCCTCTTTGAATGACCCTATATCTTATCATGACAGATGGTCTGAAAACACAGAGGCAAAGAACATTTTAAGGGTACTCTGCTACTGTAAAGTTAATGGTAATTAAGTAAGTTTAAGGGACATCAAGATTTGGTAGCACTTTCAGAGGTAATTGTAGGGCATACATCTGGTCCCCTTGGCAGTTCTGTTGGAGCAGACAAGCAAATTTGGCAGGATCTGGGGTTTGTGTCAGGATGAGGCATTCCCACTGCCTGTGCTTGCTCTCTGGCCTTCTTCCCTCTGAACAAGGCCAACCACTTTAAAAGGCAAGCAGCACAGCATGTGAAGCCTGGGCCTGGCAGCTGTCTGTGGAGCAGCCTCATTTCAATCCAATGAAGGACACAGGGCATCAAGCTATGGGCTGCTAAACAAGTTGGTCAGCAGGGAAATGGCATGTGGATGGTTGTGAGCCACTGAATTATAAACACACTTGGGAAGTTAGATCCTAAACCATCCTGTACATTGTAAATATGAGAGCATATTGGCATAACCATCCACCTCTGTACTGACTCTCGATGTGAAGTTCAATCAGTTTTGCATTCATTAGAGAGGTGGTTGGTGGCAAGAACACTGTCCTGTTATAAAGAAGACATAGATTCTGTCTTCAGCCCTGCACTAATTTGCTGTGTGACCTTAAGGAAGGCACTTTCCTCTCTGAGTCTCAGTTTATCCCTCTATGGAAGAAGAGAGTTCTCCTAAGTACTGCCCATCCTAGTTATCTCTCAAGAATTATGCAAATGGCAATGTGCTTTTCATGCCTCTGGAAATCAAAACTAGCCAGTGAGCCTGGCCATGAAGTGTTCTCCTTTCATAAATAAGGAAATCGTGGTCCAGAATGACTTGCTGAAAGTTAGAGATCTCCTAATTCCTGGCTTAATAGTTTTTCCAAGGCATAATGCATCACCACCTTGACTCGTAGCGTGTCTTTGTTTCAGATAACTCAGTTGGGTGCCTCTTTCAGAGTTGCAGCTGTTGCCAGGAGGAAATGAGCAGATTTGGAAGCTGTTCTCCCTTCTCTAGATTAAGGTGCCTTGTATCATGGTAACAGGAGTGACGGGAAGTGACTTATACCCAATGAAACTCTCCCAGAACTATTTTAATGGCAGATAGAGCAACTATCTCAAACTGCAGTGCATGGGAGAATATTCAGAGAATCTGCTTACAGTGCTAAAGCTAGGCTCCAGCCCCAGAATGCTTCTGCAGGCTTACTTAGCAGGTCTAGAATTGCCTTAGAGAAGACAGTTATAATGCAAACAGTATCCTCAACCACTGGTGAGAAACCCTGCACAGAAGTGGCTACACAGCCAGTCACACTCTCTGCCATCTGCCTTTGCCTGTCTAGTCGTGTGGAATCTGATAAACCTATGCTGGTGGTGGATACTGAAATTATATTCATAGCATGGCTTAACCCAAATAAACCAATTGATATGTACTGTTCTACCATTTTAACTCACTTTCATCCTTTTTAACCTGGTGGAACAATTTTATTAACCCAGACATAAAATTAACATGGGAAGAACTTAGATCCTATTGGAAAGCAAAACCCAGTGCATTAGAAAAATTTACCTTTGACTTGGGATGGGGAGATGAAACACTTTACATTATTTGGGAAGTGCAAAACCATTACAAATCCCTTAAAGTTGTGCAGGCACTTTGTGTTATGAACCACTACTTAGACCAAAACACCCACACTACTTCTTTTAGATCTCACCGTGAGGTACATATATATTGTATATATTGTAAGAAGGTACATATATATAGTAAATTGTTTTAAAGGAGAGTATAACTCAAGGGAAAATTCATGCCAAGAATAACACAAAACTTTAAAGACACACACAAATCAAAAGAAAACCACCTGTTAAATCTTACATCTTCAATTTTAGTTCAGGAAATAAGATTCCAGACAGTCAGCTAGTATCCAAAATATGGAAGCAAATCATTGACCAAAACTTTCTGGTTTCTTAGTTTCTGGGATCCATGGACATTTCTCACATATTTTGAATGCTAAAATAATTAAAACATCCAAGGTGCAGCCCTTATTCTAGGTACTTAGTTCACATTTCTTTATTACCTCATGTGGAGAAGAACTACTCACTGATCCTTCCAAATTCCTCACTCAGCAGTGAGCAAGAAAATGAGGATTGCTGCTGTTTTGATAAAACAACATGAAAAAGTTTAAAAACTAGAAAGGACATATGCCTTGGTCTCCTCTCCTCTTTTCATTTCTCCTGATGAAATCTTCAAGACCTGAGTTGGAGTTCTACGTCTACCACTCACTGGGAGCTGAGGTCAGACTCACAGGCCTTGAGGTTGTTACCAAGACTTGTGCTCAGAAGTCCTGGCCACAGACCATGGGATGGGAAACTTGGAGATATTGATTCAAATGGGCCATTTAATGAAAGCCTCTCATGGGGTCACAGAGAATGAAGAGATATAGTAAACTGAACTTTTGTTCTCAGTTCTTCACACCCTCACTGGAATGGGTTGATATCCACATCTTTAGTCCCCTGAGTATTGCCTTGCACCAGAATAGAGAGAGTCTGTTTCTCTAGCCCACTGATGTTGGATGTGGCCATGTTGTTTTCTGCAGTCAATGAAATGTAGGTGATGGTAAAGTAATCACTGAGCCAAGACCTTAGAGGCATAGAGTATTCTGCTGGCCTTGTTAGGAACTCTGTAATTCACCATGAAAAATACTGGGTAGCTGCTGGGCTCAGAATGATGACAACTCATGGAGCAGACCCGAACCAGCCAACTGAAGCCTACATGCAAACTAGCCCAGGAGAGCCAGATCTGTCCCAAACTGAGCTCACCCGAAACACAGCCAGCCTGAAGACTCTTAAACAAAACATAAATACCTGCTGTTATAAGCTATTTGAATCTTTTTCGCCATGTAACATTATTGCAGTAATAGCTGACTTGATACAATAGATAAAGAAAACTGCCCAAAGACAGAAATCTCAGCCAGGTATATCACTTTGATGTACAAAAATACATTTATTTTCAACAATTTCAAAACCACTGTCTTTTTTTTTTACAGTAGAAATATTCAAATGGAACAATAAAATCAAGAACAGTATATGTACATATACTGTATATATAGATATGACTCATGCATTTGTATTCCAGTGTTTAGTACAAGTATTGCCATTGTCTGCCCCATTTAACCCTTGAAACAAAAAAGTGGTATCTTTAGAAATACTCCTAACCCGGATCTATGCTGTAGCCAGGTTTCTCTAGGTCACATTCTCTCAGTGTCTCAGAGAGAAGAATGCTAACAATAACCCACAAAAATGAACAGGTACAAAATTCAGTCTTTCCTCCCATATATATATACAGTATATCATTTTTTAAAACAGGTGTGCTCAGGCTAAGCCCAAAAATAAAGCAATGCTTATAGCATGGCTTAAAGTGAACCTACTGAAAAGAGGTGATGTGTGTAATATATATGGGTGAAGGGGCTGGGATGCTGGAACACAGAATTCTGGCTTTGAAAGCCACTCGCCGCAGAGGTAAGAACTATCTTAAGGGAACTGAAGGCAGGCATTTCACTTTAAGGAAGTTGTGTACATCTGACAAGCAAATAGCACAGCTTTGCTAGAATCTTCTTTGACTAATATCATTAAAGGCTAGGCCATGGGAAGATGCATTCTTTGCCCTTAGCACAAATACAGCCATCTATTCTCTTTGTCTCATTTTAATCAGCTAAGAAAGCCCTGTTCAGCCTGCATGGCTTGTATGGACTCATGAGTCCACAAATGCCCCCTCCTTCCCAACCTCTCTGACCCCTCCCATGCCAAGAGGCACTCACTAGGCTTAACCTAGTGCCTAAGTAACTTCTCTGATCCAAGAATAGCCCAAGAATTCTCCATAAGCATTATACATTTCTACGAAATCCAACCGGAAAACAGAATAATTGTCATTTTCAGATCCATTGCCTGACTTCTTTAGAGAAAACCATTTTCTCAGTCTAGTAAATATCCTCCACTTTTCTCCTTTTGGAGCAGAATCCTTGTTTCCCTATCTGGGTTTGAAGTCTCTAGCGGGCTTCATCTTACAACTTCTTCCAGGATGGAACAAAAAGACCCGATGTTCTGTGATATCACTAGAGTCCTTCCTTTTCTAACTGTCCCACAGAAGCCCTCCCCCTGTCCTCCTTTATGTACAAAAGTAGAAACCAGCTATGTCATGGACACAAAGATGCAAGAGTTAAGTGTGACAGACAACTGGAGAGCATCTAGAACCCCAGTCAAGCAGGCCTGGGGGTCGGTCAGCTCTGACGGTGAGTGCATAAGCCAACACACGCATCTTTCTTTTTCCTGTTTTCTTTTTTACTAAACATTAAATTATTTCTCGGGAAATAAAAAGCTATTTACATTGTAATTATATACAATAAGCCATCTGTAGCCTCGCTATTGACATGCATGAGGCAGGGCCTCTCTCCTAAAGGTGTGCACGCTTTCTCCAGCTACGTTCACTCCCCACCAACCTACCTCCTGCAGATCTAACTGAGAAATGGTTTGTGTTTCAGGTGTGTATGCTGGGACTGGGGATTGTTATTGATATTGGGGGGATGGGAGGTTATTTAAAAGTCAACCCAACTTAAAAAGAGAGACCACAAGGAAAAGGAGAGTCCTTGCACTACTGATGGCAGAATAAAGCAAGAAGGCCATGGGAAGATGCATCATTTGCCCTTAGCACAAATACAGCCATCTATTCTTTTTGTTTCATTTTAATCAGCCAAGAAAGCCTTTGTCTCCCAAAGCTAAGCATCTGCCTGCTATTTATGAAGGGGCCCTTGGTAAACAAAGGTAAAAAAGACATTTTCATTTTTCTGTAGTAACAGTAATAGTAGTCATCAAAAATAAAAAGTCAAAAAGATGGTTGACCACGCGGCCGGTCGGGATTAAACACTAGTGCAGTTAGGGATCTCCTTTGTGCTTTCGCTGTTGGCAATAGTGGCAATGCCTCCTGCAGGGGAGAGAAGACAGAGGAGAGAAGAATGTACATTTCACAAGAACAGGGATCTCTGTCTGCTGTATTTGCTGCTAAATACCAAGCCAAACTGAACAGGTGCTTAGTATGTATTTATTAAATCAGGCGCCTGGATATTCTGTCCTATCAGCTCACTAGTACATCTACGTCCAACGACAGCCATCTCCCACACCAGCACACAAGGTAGGAGCATATCTTGCCATCTTAAACTTTACTGATAATAACAGCAATGGCCAATATGCGTCAAATACTTATTATGTGGCAGGCACTGTGCTAAAGACATAATGTCATCGCATTATCACAACAATCTCAGAAGGTAGGTACTATCATTCCCATTTCACAGATGAGGAATATGAGCACAAACAGGTCACAGAGCCAGTAAATTGGCAGAGATAAAATGGACCCAGGGTTATTTGATGCTACAGCCCACATTTGTGTGATTAATTAGGACACACCATGCTTCTGCTTTATAGAAAAAAAGAAAAAGTCCAACAATAATGACTAGTTGGCCTCATCCCTCCCCAACTCTGACTCCAGCACTTGCAATCTTGATCTAATTCAAGGGAAATTTTCCACCAATTTCATGTGGCTGGAGGTGATGGGCAAATTTTAAAATGTGATCATGTCCCTGTTTTTCCCCACCCTCCTGTCTAGTTTTCTCTGAAGGCCAGGCCCAAGTGGGCTGGCTGACCTCGCGTTTGGCGGACAGAGGACACGGGGGCTTGGTGGCACCGGCACACGTACCTATGACCCGGGTGTCCAGCTCTTTGTCCAGCAGTTCCTCAGGCTCGGTGAAGTCACTGAGTGTGATTTTGGGGGCATTTTCACTTTGGCTCACTGACCCAATCATCTCCTGCTCCTTGTCGTGTTGGACTTGAGCATAGATGTTAATCCAAGGGATTTTCCTACATGGAGCAGGAGCAAAATCAGATTATGATCACAGGGCTGGCCAACCATGGACAGTTGGAAATTCTGGGTGATAATGGGGAGGAAGAAGCTATTTACAGGCCAATGTCAGGGAAGGGCACTGGTCAGGCAGACACTGTGTCCATGAGGCCAAGGAAGACAAGGCCAGAAATCCAGATGCCCAAGGGAGATGTAAACCACAGAGCCGCCCGAGGAATGTGCCTTCTTCTGGGATGAAAAGCAAGCAGGTGTAGACAGAAGGACAATGCTGTTGGTCAGGTAGGTATGCACCACACCTCTTCAAACATTTACCCATTACTAAGTTTTTAAAGGAGCCGGACTTCGAGCCCATACAATTGCATTGGAGTGAAATGACATCTTTTTCTAAGGTTACATCAATTTAATCCATTCGCATTGGGCTCTTTAATGAATTTCCAAGAAATAAAAGACGTATAGCCATTGCCACTCTTTTCAGAACACCACCCATGGGCCAAGTATCTTCAATACTTTGATAATCAGTTTCCTCATCTGTTAACAGGAATAATAATCACTGCCTTTAGGATTGTGGAGAGGATTACGGCAAGGACTAAGAGAAGCTAAATAACTTCCTTCAAAGACACAAAGGTAGTAGGTTTGGAAATAAGGCAGGAAGACTGGAGTTTGGAGGAGTGGGCAGGTTCAGATTCAAATAGTCTCAGGGATTCAGCTCCTGACCCATCTCTATTACTCCTCACCCACCGTGTTCTAGCTTCTGTGATTTCCCTTGCTCTCTTTATCGCAGACCTTCAAACTTTTGAGTGCAGGTGCATCACCCAAGTTCCTGTTAAAATGCACTCATGACGCTGTCAGTCTGGACAGGTTGGGCTGAAATACTGCATTTCTGCCAAGCTCCCAGGTAATACTGCTGCTGGTCTAAGACCCAAACTTTAAGTTGCAAAACTCTAATACATCAAACTTGTCCCCAGTTCGGGGACTATGAACCAACTCTTCCCTCCATCTGAAACATACTTCTTCTTTCTCTTCTCATGTCCTTCTTGACCTATAGAACTCATTCTCGAGAGGCCTTTCCTGACTACCCAACCTTTCCTGTTATAAATACACAGTCATGGGACAATGTCTATGAAAGAAATGAACAGAGTGTTGGTTTAGGGTGATGGAATAGGTAATGTCTGTTGATTTGTTTTCTTTCTCTCCCACTAGACTAAAAGCCCCATGTATGCGAGGTCTGTTTTCAATCTTTATTGCTGTTCTCTTAACTTAGCGCAGTGCTTGGCACATAGTTTACATTCAGTAAGGATTTGTTGAATGGATGAATAAATAACCTCAAAGCTTGTGCTTTTTCTACTTTCATATAGCATCTTCTCAAACAAAACGGCCACATTTTTATCTTGGAATATTAAATTAAAGGAGACGTCTCTCACCTCATTATATGATGAGATTGGACTGAAGTCTAGAGACTTTATGGAGCTGATTCCTGGCACAGATGTTATTAAGACTTGAGACATCTAATACCCACCCCAACCCAGAACATTCCGTGCATTTCTAAAGGAGCATCACCCTGTTGCCCTAATACCTCCCAGTGGTATTTTCAAGCCTCTACATTCCCTTCCCCACTCTAACTAACCCCAATAAGATAGAACGTGGGAGCATTTCATAAGGTTTTCCTATAGATAATTCAGCAGGAAAGATCCAAACACAGATTTAAAACCTGAGTAGTTTCTACCTTTTTTTTACCTTCCATTTTCATGTCTTCAGTGGTTACTTCCCATACATTAAGGAGGTGTTCCCATGACTTCTACTGGTCTACCTTAATATAATTTACAAGAACTTAAATGAAGAGATTCTATGTGAAGCAGCAAATTGCAGGCTCTTTAAATGTGTATAACTGAATATTCATGGTGGCCCTTACTTTCTTCTTATCTAAATAGAAATGCAGCCTAATGACTTTGATTTCTTCTAATCATCAAAGTACATATTACTTATAAACACTGGGATCAACTATAATATTTATTGGGTGCTGGGGGCAGTAGAACCATTTCTGATCACACAAGTCTATGTACTTCAGGACCAGCCAGAATCGACTGCCTCCCCTTTCCTACTTTCCTCATACTTGTGGGGATTTGGATAAATTTGCCCTTACAAAGACTATTCACTTTATTTCAATTTCAAAACACAAGCAACTTTTTTCAATGTTTTTAACAGATGGTTGGAAGGGAGAGCATTTTATGTCACAATTTGCATCATTTAAAAAATCATCAGATTGCTTTCCATTTCTTAATATATCCACCGTAAGACATATTGAGCATATAAGTCAAGACTAAACCCCACTCTTGCATAGAAAGTTGGGAAATAAAGAGACTTAGGGGCATGTCTAGGGCCATACATTCATTGGTTTTAATAAGGGAAATAGGGTGGATCAACCCAAGTGACCAATAAAAACTTCAGTTTCTTGTTTCCTCCATCTACAATACGTGTTAGAAACCAGTGGGAGGCAGTTTAGAGAAAGCAAAGTAGGCTTCAGATTATGATGAAAGCCCTACTGAAAAAGAGATTGGAAGAAATATATAAGAGCTCAAAAGTTTTCTTGCCTTACCAGAAAAAAAAATGGATCTATGGTACAGAAAGAAGGTCTTGTTAGAATTTTCAGAAAATAAAAGCCATCTCATAATTATTTTTATTTATATTGCCTAAAATATCAAAAACAGCAGTCAGTATCCAAGTATGAGATCAAATGTGAGACAGGAGGATGCGTACTTAGAGGAAACTTGGAATTCACGGCAATGCTATTCTTTTTCCCTTGCTAAGTGACCACTTGGGACAGAGAGATTGCTTTCAGTGCCTGGTACACAGCAGGCACTCAATAAGTGTTTGTTGAATGAATGAATGGTTTAATGAGTTAATGCTGGTAATTACAGAAAGCTTTCTGTCTGAAAACTCAGCATGGCCAGTGATCTGGGAACAGCCCCTACCCTGAGCTGTCCAAGTGTTCACTAGCTAGGTGTAACTGTTTAAATTTAAATTAACTAGAGTTAAATAAAGTCTAATAATTCACTTCCTCAGTCATATTGGTGGCTCATGCACTGGAGAGCAAAGATTATGGAGTCTTTTCATCATTGCAGGAAGTTCTATAGACAGTAACAAAAGAGGTAAAGGAGAGTCTGAGAAGCAGGGATGAAAACCTGACCTTCCCTTGTCAGCAAGCCAGGCGCCCTCCATACAGCCATTGAGGGATTTCCAGGTGATGAGAAAGGACAGGAGACAGAAGAAATAAGAGAGATCCAACAGGACCTTAAGCAAAAGGCTTGAGCATTGGGGGAAAACTTCTAAACTCCTAAGGTGGCTAGAACAGAAAAGTTAACTGTTGATTGGTTATGCTTACTGACTTCTGTTTATCCAGTTTGAATAGTGTTTCTTTCCTGTAGCCTTATAGCTACATAGTTCACTGCCATGGACTCAGACGGGATTGGCTGATATTTGGGGACTACAGAGGTAGAATAATTCAGAGATAGCATTACCTGGCATAAATTCAAGTATTAAAGGGTACACATTTAGAGATGCCTGCATTAATAAGTTGACCTTCTAGGGAGTTTAGCAGAAATTAGAAGAGAACAGAAATCTAAGTAACAGGATAAGTCTTGCCTTAATTTGGAGACAGCTGACACAAAAACATTTCTGCAGAACTTCTATTGGCCCTAGTCCTCAGCAATGATGGAGTTCTCGGAGCCAGAAGGTGATCAATCTGGTTTAGTTTCACAGAGCCCGGCAACCACCAGGCTTCCCCACAATCAGATCCAATGTAGGAATGAAAGGGCACTTTACGTGTCACTTGTGTACATCCACAAATGGGCTTTGCTTTGGCCAGGATGTTCTATATTGAATCTTTGCTCTCTGATTGTGATAGGTGTTTTCCCCTCTTCCAATGGAACATGGACAGGTGGGTTGATATATCTTGATCCAAGGAAATGTGAACTCCCATACTTGTCTCTAAATCGAACAGAAAGGTGAACCTCACTCTCTCTTTCCGCTGGAGGGTGTTGAAGGATTCCTGATATTTTGGCTAATGCTGGAATGCATTTTGAGTAAAACTGGTGTTTTTAGGCCGGAGATATCCACTAGAGGGGAGCTAAAGAGGGTAGGTGGGAAGTGAGGGGAAGTAGAGTGAAGCACCTTTACCACTAATATCTTCCAAAATCTAAATGCATTACCTCCAGTGTCTAGAAAGACTGCCAGGACTGAGGTTTGCTTTCAAAACTCATCTGACAATAATTAATGATATTTTTACTTTATCCAGTTCTCCTATAAAACATATTTCTATGCCACTGATATGATTTTTTGTGAGCCTACTATGTGCTAGTTTGTGACACAGAAAGCACCTTTGGAAAACATGTTCTTTATTATTATAATAGCTTAGCACTGTTGACTAGTTAGTATGCCTGATGGCATAGATACTACTACATTTAAATCATCTAGCAAGCCTTTAAAATATTACTGTTTTCCCCATTTTACAAATGAGAAAACAAAGGTTTAGAGAAGTGCATTCAATTGCCCAGGGTTACAAATACTGAAAAGTTAAACTTGGGTCTGTCTGATTTCAGAGTTCATACTCCTTAGCCAGTAACCAGTGGAAGTATTACGTGATTCAGGTAATGGTAGAGAGTTGTTGATTTCATGTTTTTAGTGAGTATCTTGTTACATCACCCCTCCTGTGGTCTTCAAAAATAATCTGAACATTACGGTGTTTGCCTTGCCAGATCAATCACCCTTTAGAAACAGGACAGAGAGGGAGGTAAATAAAGGTTGAAATTTTTACTATGCAAATTTAAACAGAGATGCTAGACAGCCACAACACAAACTAAGACAATGTCTGGTAACACCACTCTGAATGGGTGTTAAGTTGTAGACAAAGATATGAATATTTGAGACCTAACTTTAGAAATTTAGGTGACATTTGAGAACCCCTTATACTTCTCTTGAAGAGAATAAATTGATTTCATAGGCAATCCCTCAATTTTCCTAACTCAGTATACCTATAAACTGGGTAGAGTCCAGATTCTTAGAAACATTCACTCCCTCACTCTCAGCCATTCTTGCTTTTCCCAGTGACGAACAGGACTTCAAGGAGAATGAACTTCACATATTTGAAATGAGTTCAGGAATGTTGGTTATAGGGAGAATCAGTTCTTAAAAACGTAGCCCTGATATCAAAACCGAGTAGTAGCAGCACATACCTTTTAAACTTGTAGATCAAAAACACAGCCAGGCCAACAAATACCACGGACAAGAGCATAAGCATGGCTGAGCTGCTGTGCCCAGCGCTGGAGTCCACCAGGGGGGCTAGGAGGAAAGAACAGACACGCTCACGTGGAGGCTATTAGCTGGAGGGGGTTCCCACTGGAGGAAAGAGGTCTCCAGCCTTACACCCGGTCCCCAGCTGCCCTTCATGGATCTGGGCCTGGGAAGCTTGGCTTCTATGATAAACATGGCAACTTCAATTGCAGCTTCTTAAGGAAAAGTAAACTCTTCTACTCTGCCTGGGGAAACTTGCTGTTCTTGGTGTGAACTGAGCAATTGTTTTCCTGCTAAGGGGAGTAGAGGGGTTTGGATGTCTTTCTCCTAGACAGCCTGAGGGCCTGTCAACATGATTAAAGGTGGCCCACTGGGAATTTTGGATTAAATACTGATGCAGTGCTTCATTCTCTTCCTCTACACTGTTCTGATAAAACACTGCTGGAAGGGCACATTTGGAGCCTCCACATCTAGAAAGTCTTACATTCATAAGACAGATTTAGCAAATAGGTTCTCCCAGAGAGTCAGTAGTGGGTGCCATTGGGACAAGCCATTTTAAAATTCCTTTTACAAATCAACCAACTACAGCCGATCCCTGTTTCAACTTAGACTTACACATTATAAACTGAAGGGAATGTTTTAAATGATCTGGTCTAGTCTTCCAATCAAGATTCATGGAATCTGAGAATCACAGAAATTAAGAGAGCTTGAGGACTACATAATTGTTCATTTCAACTGTTGCAGATAAAAATAAAAGATAAGAAAAAATAAAGGCCCAAAGAAATTGTAGGTTTCCCCAAGATTGTCCAGGGATTTAATAGCAAAGCTACGTTTAATTAAGTCTTTTTGCCACCTCAACAGGAAGCTCGAGAAAGATGTAATCAATCTTCCTTAACCATTACTACACAAAAGAGCCCTGCCACAAAGCCATTTCAGGCATTTATGGATAAGTGTTTGGTAATTATCTCCTCCCTTTTCTCTCCAGGATCACCGTACCCATTTGCCCCTGAATCCCAACGGGCACTCACCTAGTGTCAGCTGAGTGACATACACGATGACGTGAACCCCCGGCTTCAACTCAAACTGGACCAAGTTTTGGTTTAGAGCATTAAATAGGATCTCTACAATCTGAAAAAAAGAGAGGCTGCATGGGGAGACATGACATGTGACAATGCTCCCTCACGGACAGTAAAAAAGCAGGGCCAATAAGCTAAATGTGACTAGGTTCAATCAGAGGACAGGATATTGGAACATTTTTATCAGTTTGGTTCTCACAGCCCTTTGAACCCAAAGAAGTAGGTGGTATTACTTGCTTAAACTGAAGAGAGTGAGACAGAAAAAGGTGCGTCCAAAGTTACCAAGTGAAGTAAAGTTGGTAACAGACATACATGTTTCATTCAAATCTTAGTTCAGTGCTTTTCCATGGATGCCTTTATAACTGACTGTAGAAAGGCCCCTTGTGGTTTCCAACGAAGGAAAATCAACCTGTCATTAGCTCGTTGATCCGGTGGAGACACACACACAGCACAGAGAGGCCCCTGCCAGGATGAAAGCAGCCACGCATCCCCTTCTCATTCTGCTTTTTTCTCTTAGAGACAATGCGAGGCAGACATCAAAGCAGTGGCTTCCTCCCTTTTATGGGATAATTTTTCCTCTTTACTTTTCCTCAGCAAGTCTCAGAACACGTATCATCGATTGAATCACTCTGTAATTCCCACATGAAAGCTGGGGCCGACCTGGGCTGTTGTCTCTAACTCTTATCTTGCTGTATGCGCCTTAATATCACAGCTGCTTTTCATCACCGTAATTACCTATTTATCTAAATGGATGGATATTGTAGCTTCCAAATATAGTTCACACATGCTATTTCAGAATAAACAGGTCTTGTAAAAGTGATGTATGAATTGAGAAGCTGGATTTATTTCTGGCCAACTTCAATATGCAACCCTGCAATGCAAGGATCAGCTCCATTTTCCAGAGAAACTGATTTTCACAGCATCTCTGCTGTTTGAGGAGGACTGTGGATGGACGGGGGGATGGGGGATAGCCAGGTGAGTAGCAGAGGGACACAGAAGATGCCTGTATGATGCTTGCCTCATACGGGAGTGAATGTGTTTAACTCATTCATGCCCATTTTATCAGCGTCATTCACACTTCTCCTGACCTAGCAGGGGAAGGTGAAGCAGAGCACGGCCAGTGGGACCCCAGCAGGAGCAGGGAGGGAGAGGGGCTTGTCCTCTCCTTTACCTCCAGGGTAGAGTGCCAACCACAGGAACGATCTGTCCAATTGATAAAGACAGTAAATCACAACCCCTTTAGAAAATGCTGCTCCCTTAGTCAAAGCAAGATGAGGCAATCCATTTCTCTCTACAAAGAAGTATATTTAAAAGCAATTCATTTTCTCCCTAGAAGCAGAACTTAGATTGACCACGATCTTTAAAGACAAGAAGCACATTTTCCCAGAAGTGGGGGAACTCAAATTCCTCTCTTTCTCTCCCCCAGAACCAGGTACTGGGCGGGAGACAGGAGCCAAGTTGCAGGCATGTCAACTGTTGGAATGAAAGATTCCAATGAAAGAAAGTGTTTCCTTCCTGTGTGGCTGAATGTCCCAATCTATGTGCATTTGTTTTTATTCTGCATAAGACAGAATGTTCCTCAAAGCCCTGGGTGCTAGGCAAGCTGATGGGCCAATGGAAGAGGGCTTGTCTCCCTTTTTAGCTGTAAACAACTTTACGTCTTCGTAGAATGGGAGGTGCAGCCAAGTTTCCCAGGCAAGTTTTCCTTCACCTACTTGTTCCAGGTCTCCTTCATTGCCTTTCCTCCTCTCTGTCAAGTTCCTGGGGGGCAAGATGAAGAGCTCTGCCGAAGTAGGGAGGCCAGGGAACACAGCAACTAGGATCTGGTCTTCCGGGACATTGGTTACCTGCAAGGATGTTTAGACCAAGGAGTGAGGTCCTAGAGGAGCCAGTCTTCCCAAGTCAATAACAAAGAGCAGAATATGCCCAGGAATGAGGCTTACAGACATTTTTTAAATACAGCATTTCTAGCATAGGTTCCAATATACATCCAGGCTTTCTTTCTGCTTTCCTTTAGAACTGCTAGGTAAAGAATTACTAGTTTCAGTACCTTCTCTGCTGTTATATACATTTCTACTGAAACTGAAATACTATCCTGAATGCTTTTCAAAATATTTGCTGGGAACATTTGCAAAAGTTCCTCCCATATTTTCCATTTTTCTGCATTTAGAGGACTAGAACTTCTAGTTAAAATATGAACAGACTGGCTGCAAATGAGGAATAAGAAATTATAGTCAAACATGGGAAAATGCAAATAAAGAAATAGCCAAGCAGCACTTGTTTTCACTTGCTAAAGCAGCATTTTTTATTAAGTTAGAATGACTAATATTGGTGAGGCTTCAATTAAAAGGTTCCCTCATTTGTTGCTGTCTTCCTTAAAAATTGATAAATATTGCCAATTTGTTTCTCAAAAGACTTACTTGAAAACCATAAACATATTCAGACCCTTCATTCAGTAACTATAACTTGGAGTGTCTGTCCTAAAGAAATGATCCAAAATATAAGAAAAGCATATGCAGGAAGAAATACACATTATTTGTAATAGCAAATAAATGGGAAAAACTCAAATATTCAAAAAAAATGGACAGTGGCATAATACCTGACAGAATGTTATTCTACCATTTGGATGATAATTAGTACAGTGCACCAACATGGAAAAACCTTTATGATAGCTATGTCCTGATCTATTTCTTTACATTGCTTCAGTTACAATGCTATAAAAATTAAAATGTAGAGGAGTAAAAAAGCAAAACAAAACACTAAAAGTTGTGTGTTAAGATGCTGAGATTGTAAATGAATTTTTCTGAGTGTTTAGTAAAAGGATTATGAAGATTTTTAATAAAAAGTGAAAAGTAAGTTTCTGGATGAAGGCAAATTTCTGGAGAAAACACAACTCTGAGACCCCACCCCATAACGAGTGTGTTTATTCTTTCCTATGTGTCTCCGAAAGGTCTTTTTTCCAGAACACCTCTTCTGCCAATACAAATATGACAGTTTTTTTAATTTGGCAGAAATACCCACCTCCTCCATGAAATATTCCTGACTATCTCTACCTACAGTGACCTCCTCAATGCCAATCTTTCACCCCAAGCACTTCTAGATTGCCATGGCCAAAATATTTCAGGGACATAGTTCATGCCCACTGTGACATATCAGTATATCTGGCCAGTATAATCTTACCTCCAATAGGTTCTTTTTGTACATTTGCCCTCATGTTCCCAGGGGTCTTTGTGGCTACCTTGCTGTTTAGAAAAATGCCTAACACAGAGTTAGAGGCTCAATAAGTAGTTGCTGGATTGAATGAAAGTAGCAGGGTTGTTCCCCATTTGCTCAGCTCTGATTCCTGTTTGGAACTGTGCTTACAGACTGGAGTTAGCTCTCACAGATGTGATACAGAAAAGTGATGAGTTCCCACTTGCAGAAAACCAGCAGAAGTCAAAAGCCTGAAAACCCCACCAAGTGGGGAGGATCCCCCTGAGCCCAAGGCGACCCAGCTGGATGCCATGGTCCCAGCGGGGAGGCACGCCCCCCCCAGGAGCAGAGGTCTCGGTGCCCAAGTCCATGGGGAGAGATGGCTTTATCCTACCCAGTCACGGGGAGCAGGTCTCCAGAGACCAGACTGAGGAGCAAACGGCAGAGAATCACCCAGTGGAGTGAGCGGGGTGAGCCTAGAAGCACCATGGCTAGGGTGCCCCTTTGCCCCAGGGAACAGTGGCCGCAGGGAGGGTCAGCCCGGTGGGGACCTTGGAGAGATCCCAGAGGAGCTCTGTGTGTAGATTCCCTTAGTTCCACCCACAGGAACATACGAGTGATAGGTCTTAGTGAGATTTAAGGCCCAGCCATCAACCGATATGGGTGATTATTATTATTTATTAGTATTATTACAACTACCAAGTCATTTAGTAGAAAGCTAGTATGTTTTTAATACATACAATCATATAACATGAAACAATTCTGGATATTTCACAAAGGCCTATGGGAACAGCCTCACTTCATGCCTTTCTATAAACGACCTTTTTGTGAAAAGTTTAGGATGAAGAGCCTCTTACCAGTTTCCCGCAGGAAGGCTCTTTAGCATTCTTTTCTCCTTATTCCTTCCGTGAACTCCTGCCCACGCCCTGCCCTGGATCTTTCTTCCGCGCTGGGCAGCGCCAGCATTCATGTCTGCCCTACCCCTGCCCTCTGGGGGGCCTGCTGACCTCCACAGCCTGAGCCCCCACATCCTCGCCTCTAGTGGGAGCCTCTTCTTGACCTTCAGGTCCATATTTCCACCTCCCCTGGTGATCTTCACCCAATCGTTTCTTGTAGGCTCCAAACTCATATGAAAGATGACACCATCACTGCACCCCAAGACGATTCCCCTCACAGAGTCCCCGTCTTGGTAATGGCGAGGCTGTCTCCTACCTACTCCTGTAGTCAGAGAGTTTCTCCTTCTCTCTTGTTTGCCAGACACTGTATTAGTCACCAGTTCCACAGTTCCAGTTCCTAAGTGGCCTCTGAATCCTTCTTCTTTGGGATTGTCTCTGGCCCAGATAACTGTAGTAGTCTTTTAACTGGCAGTTTTGGTGAAATTTCTCTTCCTCCTCTGCACTTACTCCCTCAGCAGCCTGCCTTCTGCCTTACCACCAGAATGGGCGCCTGAAGTATACATCTAGTATCAGCACTTTTTGTTTAGATAAGAAAACAATACTCTCCCCCTTCCCAGTGCCTAGAGGATGCATGTCAGACTCCCTGTAGCTTCTCAGACCATCCACCATGTGACGCAACCATCCTAGCTCAGCTTTAGCCACACTTGCCTGATAACCTGTGCATCAGTTGCACTGAATTCTCTGCCACTTTCGGATTAATCTGTGCTCTTTCAACAGCCCATGGCTTTGCACGTGCTGCTCATTCGACCTGAAAGACACCATCCTGTCTCTGTTACCTACTATTTATCCTTTAAAAGAGAGTTCAAGTATCCCCTGCAAAGACCATCCTACTAGCTCATAAATATTTACTGAATCACAAATATGTCCTAAGCCTGCACTTCCCTGAATAGAGTGAATCATACTTTTCTCCATGCTCTTTGGAAATGCCAGCCAAGCTTCTACCATAGAATTAGGCCATATATTAAACTTATCTTAGTTTGAATTGACCATGTTTTACTCATCATTACATTCTACTGCCTGGCTCTACATGAGCAGAAGGTTAACAAAACCCTTTCAACTTTCTCTAAGACAATCTGACTTTGAGGAAATTCTATAACTCTATAACTTTATTCCCATGAGAGCACGTTGTTCTGTTTCTTGGCCTATAGCCATCTGATTGCCACATATGGCCAATGGTAGCCTTGTGAGTGAATGTCTGGCTTAAGAAACCCTCTTGGTTGGCAGAGAACCAGTCAACTGAATAAATCAGTATAGACTCAATGGGTGGTCCATCCACCAATTTATCAAAAGGGTCAAGCTCTTAAAAATTCAGTGTCTTCTACTTTTCATCCTCAAACCTTCATGACTATCTCTGTCTCTCTCTCCCCCACACTCTCCCTCCATCCTTCCTTCAATCTTTCCCTTCTTCTTTTCTCTCTCTTTTTACAGATAAATAAGCCACACCTAGGTGTAGAATATTTCATCCACGCATATGTATTCTGGACCACACCATCTGGTTCTCTGCATTCACAGAGCTTAAGGAAAGATCAAGCCAACTTACTTTGACCAGAGCACGCTTGATGACGTTGCCAATATCGTGCCTCCACTCAGGAATGTCGGGGTTGTGGTAATCCAGATTAGGAGAGAATGACAAGAGCTGGGACTGGAAGTACTCTGCAAGGAGAGAAGAATGTGCCAGTGAGGCTGAGAGAGGGTCCACGCTTCCCTGTCCTCGGCTACAGTGCCTGCTTTTCAGCCTTTCTTGGCTTCAAAGAAGGTGAGATTTGGTGACTGGAAAAGGATTTGTGCTCCCACCAGGTAGGAGTTCCTAAAATCTTAAAACTTTCCCTGGTAAAAGAATATTACCTGAAATGAAAGAGATTTACGAAACCCCAGAAAAAGGAGCTGTATGCTATGCTACTCTTAGCTGCACCCCACAGAACCAACGACAAAGTACCACCAAGCTGGCCTTGGTCCGAATGGAGCCTTGCCACTTTTCCTCCCCTCAGTGCCTCTGTCCACCCTGCCGCAGCTGCCTCAGAGGGTGAGAAGGGAGGCGGAAATCCTGTCTGTGGGCTGTGGGTGATGTTCCGTTTCTTGACAGGTCTGTTCACTATCTGGTAAGGCATGAAGCTAGACACCCATGACCTTGGCATTCTTCTGTATTAAACTTAACACTTCAATAAAAATGTTTACTTAAAAGATGTCTTCCAGGCACCTGAGTGGCGAGTTTGCAGAGATGTAGGAAAAGGCACTCACCCGGAGGGAGGCTGAAGAAATACTGTCTGAGTCAGAGCATCACATACCTTGGCACAACTTTCTAGAAAACCCCAGGTATAATACTGGTGTTTAGGGGCCTGGGAAAGGTAGGATGGGATGGTGACAATTTTATTTAAAATAAATTGAGGAATTCAGAATGGTTTTCCAGGATAGAGAATAGAATAGTGGCTTTATTTACTATACCCTCTGCCTCGCTCTGCCCTTACAGTCTCAGCCTTATTCTCAAGCCTTTGTAGCCAGTCACATTAGAATCTCCAACAATCAAGAAAACACCTCAGTCATGTGTAGTTCATCTCAGTAACTGAGCTGTGAGTTCTGCAAGGTCAGGGGCCATGAATCTTCTTTTGAAATCACTGGTCTCCAACTTCACAAAGAGCAAAAGCTACACAGGTGTTGCAGATAGCTCAGCAGGATATCAGATCTAGATGTTTCTATGACACTCTTTCCAGCTCGGAATCCCTTTAAATTATGGTGCGTCTCTGCCTAATGAGACCCCCATCAGGATGTGGTGTAGCTACTTCACAGGGAACAGCAAATGCTTATCTGTGCCTACCTGTTCCAGCTTCTCACTTCACCTCAGTTGTTATCCAGGAACAAGGTAAGAAGTAGGTTTAGAACACTTGTGTTGATCTACACAATTTTCCCATGGCTTCGGGAATTTCCAGAGCAGTCAAGGATTACTGCTAGGGTGGGGCAAGGGGATTGACTGGGCTGGAGGGAGCCTCACAGGACAATTTTCAGGGCTTACCATGAACTGCGATATCTTTAGTGTCCTGGATGAGGGCATTCCCAGCAGCCACCTGGACAGTGATGGTGTTGGTTCCCTCCGCAAGGAATGTAAAGGAAATGCTGCTGTCCAAGGTGATGAGGGGCTAAAAGGAGTAGAAACACCCATTTAGTCCTCTGCAAGACAGTCTTCCATTCCTGTAAATCTCAGACTGTCACAAATCTGCATAGCCTTTGTGTATCCACGAGGGATTCTACCGAACTTGAGAAAGGAAAATTACACCGCTTCCTAAAACTGTGATTACAACCAGGAGAGTATGAATATTCTTGAAATAAACTGTAAAATGTTAATCCTGAGAGATAAAGATAAGATTGAACATTGGATTTTGCATGCCATTCTGTTCTTATTCCTGGGGCAAAGTGGAAGCAACTTTTGTAACCTATCCCTGTTGGCTAAGGAATAGATCATTTCTCTCCTCCTCCACTGTTCAGTATCACTTATTTTCATTCATTATTTCACTGGACTGTAAGACCTTTCAGAGAAGTGACCACATTTTATTTACTTCTGCATCACCCATCCATGGCACACTGCCTTACTTAAAGCAGAACATATACGTAAATTGGATGCATGACACACATCACTGGCTTGTTTTATTGTGTCTATTTTACATTGCAAAACATTTCTAACATTTTTCATAGGTTGGAAAATATGTAAATACATATCTGTGATCATTTTTAAATCCTTTTTTTTTTCTGTTTCATTTTTCTGATCATAACAGGCTTCCCAAGAATAAAGGGAGAAACAGAATCATTTTTTTCCCCCTGAGAATTAGGATCTTGATAAAAGCACATGCTTGTTGGAGAGAAGAGAATGAAGATGCTGAGACTGAGGAGTCATTATTCACTGGTCATCTGGAGACCTGAGCCCCTCTCAAATTCTCTTTTGTTTGCAAGGTAAGACATGACAGTGGGAGGCTACTCTGAGGCCGCTAACAAAGAGATGTCACAGCACAGATAAGCAGACTCCATCTCCTCTCAGAGTGTCAGGGACAACAAGAGGATAGAGAGTGAAAATAGAGCCAGTTGGGGATGCACAGAGCTGCCCTTGAAGGGGGTGAGTGGGGCCAGGGCTCTCCTAACATTCTCCTGTGCTCTTCACTAAACACGGACTGGATGTGTGTGCATGGCCCTGCAGAGGCTCAGAGAGGCAGCTTTCATACAGCGTCCCTGCTGCAAGACTGGAATTCCTTCTAGCTCAGAATTTTAAACGGGACCTCTGAAACAATAATTTGACTTCTTCTACTTTAAAATTCTATAGTTCTATGTTATGGCCACGCTGATGACTGGAGTTGGGTAGGATTAGAGAGATTACCCTAAACTTCTGACACACTTTCTTCTTTGTTTGTTAAATGAAATAAAGAAGTGAGTATGGATAGAAATACACTCTTTCCCTTACTAAGGGCAAACCCCAGAGTCCAAGTGGTCCTATGGCTCTGCAATGATACACAAAATGAATTACACAATGAATGAGGTGCAAATAGGTTCTGTGATGCGCATCAACTCCCATGGGTTGAGAAGGAAGCTGACATCAAGCTGAGTTCAGCACAGCAATGCTGGCCACAGCCATTAATATGGAAGCAACGACATGTGTGCCATACAGTTGCCAACTCTAGTGCAATAAGAACAGTGACTTGAGACTCTGGGTTTGTTTGTTACTATTCTAATGAATGACCTTGGGCAAAGTTTTTCCCCATTTTGGACCTTAGTTCTTTATCTTAAGAAGGGTTTATCTTTATCAAATGAAGGTTTAAGGTTAGAAGAGCTGTGAGGGCTTACTCAGCAATTGGAATATATAATATTGATGACTGGCTTTAGGCAAACTTAATAGTCCCTACTGGTTAACCTATTAGGCCTCATCTGTCAAAAGACTTTCAACTGCTTTGTTACCTTAGTCATATTCTTTGAAATGAAAATGCGATGCCTCTATTTACCCAACAGAATGGCTAAAGTTTCCTTACAAATTGTAATATCAAATATTATTGAGGAGACAGAGCAACGGGAATTCTCATATATTTTCTGGTAGGGTGTAAAAATGGCACCCCACTTAGCAAAAAACTGAGTTTTACAAGAAATTGCAATAATTGTTTTCCAAAGTAGTTGTGCCATTTTATATTTTATGATTCAGTAACTGTAGTCCTGTGAATTTAGTCAAGAGAAAAGAAAACATATGTCCACAAACAAACAAAATAAATGTCCATAGCACCTTATTCATCACAGCCAAACACTGGAAACAGCCCAGGAATTCATAAATAGGAAAATCAATAAACAAGCTTAGTATATTTGTACAATCTATATAAAAGAACAAATACTGATATACACAACAGTATGGATGAGCCATAAGTGAAAACAGCCTTACATAAAGGAATTCATGTAGTATAACATTTGCATGAAGTTCTAGAAGAGGAGTGTCTGATCTGTGATGGAAAAAGTGGTTGATGCTGTGTATTGTGGGTGGAGTTGACTGATAAGGAGCATGAGAGTACTTTCTGGAGTGATGATAAAACTTTTCGCCTTGATGGGCATTTGGTTACAGGTACATGCCTTTGTCAAAACTCAGGAAGCGCACACTTCAGATTTGTACATTTCATTGTTGTTACATTTTATAGCTTTATGGGAGAAAAAAGCCTAAACAAATACTGAATTCTAGTTAATGATCTGCAAGATGAAGCATTAAGGACAAAGAAGATAGCTGTCTAACATTTACTTTGAAATGAATTAAAAAATCAGGATTGACGGATATATAGAGGGATGGTAAAATAAGCATAGTAAATGTTAATGGCACGCCACAGGTGGTGGGAGTATGGATGTTCACTGTAATATTATGTAAAATTTAGTAAGTTTGAAGTTTTTCACAATGAAATGTTGGAAGAAACAAAACATAAAAGGAATAACCAATGTGCTTTTATTTGTCTAGATTTCATGGATCGCTCTCTCTGACCATGTCTGTATTATATTGTCCTTCCATTTTCACTGCCTCTACTATTTCTCATTTTTTCCCAACTCTCACCACCAGGCATTTTTCTCCCTTAATAGCTGTCTCTTCAGGGAGCCTTCACCACTTCCAAGTCATCTTTTTCAGCAGTCAGTGGTCTCTGTGGCCCCCTCCCCTTTCTCTGCCAGCCAGTCAGGGCTCTGTGCCACAGCAAACACACTGTGTTGAATGAGAACACATGGTCCCTGAGTGGCAGGCCACAGGCACCAGTGCTGGGGCAAAGGCAGGAGCCAATCGTGTTTTCCAAATTGCTTTTGTTTTTCATTAGCTGTTATGCAATCCTGGCTGATTTCACCTTCCTTGCAAAGCTGAAATACTCAACAGGATTCTTGATTTCTGTGTTTGGACACTGATATCTTAGTGTGCAATGCTAAATTAAATCAAGTATTGTACGGTTCATTTACTAAATCTATTAGGCAAGCAAACACATTTATTAAGTCAGACCTCTGTTAATCCCAGCAAATTGGCCTTTCAGAGCCACTACAAATCCAACAGGCAGCCAATGGACTTCTCTGTCTCTGTGCTTTGTCCAAGCTGCACGGCTAGTCCACAGTGAGGGCTGTTAAAATAATATCTCAAGTCCTGCCTAGAAAGTAGGCTGCATCCCTGCCCACAGAGCATCCCTCATGTGCGACAGGTCACATGTTATCCACTGAGTCCAGCAAGATATTGACAAAGCTCTGAGTGACTATTTAGTTATGAGATTTCCACTTGACTAATGGAACAAGGAGCTTCAAGGATATCTTTGGATGCAGCCTACACCAGTTTCCCAGATGCAGTAAGACAAGTTAGTATTGAATATTATAAAATCTTCACAATATAAATGTGTACCTTGATAAAAAACTGCATTCTCAAATTAGACAGACTATGCAATCACTATGCTTGCCTTACTTAAGACCTTCTGCAGATTCTACAGTAACATGGACAAAGTGCTTATCACATGATGTAGAAAATGCAGACTATATAATCGTGGATATACTATGACTGAACTTATAAAAAGATCTAAAACACACACAAAGATCAGAAAGAACTAAAGCAAAATAGTGTGAACAGATGTGACTACAGGATTAATGTGAAGACTCACAGGGGAAAAATTTTTCCCTCACATGCACACACACACACTCAAACTCATCCGGAAGCTCTTCAAAAGCAAACTCACTTTCAGGTGTCACTGTCCATGAATCTTGTTCTATCTTCTACCATCCCATCCTAATCCTGTGGTTCTATAACACAATAAAATTCAGCCACTTATGTCATTCAAAGCCACCTGCCATTTATCCTCCTCATCTTTCAGTTTTTTTCTCCAATTCTTGCCCAAATGAATCCTCTGCTTTTTCCGAATCATTCTACACAGAACACAGCCATGTCAAAAGCCTTACCTTTGCACAAATCCCTTTCCCTCCTCTCTGCCTCTGTTCTATGCCGACAGCTTAGCACCAGCTTTATATATGACTTACTCCATGATTGACGGGAAGTGCATCTGTCACCTCCTAGGCTGCTTGACGGGCCAGTGATCCATTCCTGTTATCTTACCTCACAGTACCTGCAACTTCATGTTCTCAAAGAGATTGTTCTTAAAGACAACAAATGGAATTTACACAGCTTTGTATTCCTTACAACATCTAGCATAAAATACAGACTCTTGAAAAAGATCCAGGAAGCTACACATTTCCCTTGATAGGTCTGGAGGTATATGAGCCTATGGCTGGACTTCAGGAATGCGTGTGGTCTTCTATAAACTTACACATCACACTTGCTCACCAATCACTGCATGGGTGTTCATCTTGCCTCTGTGGAATGTCATCTTGAAGGTCAGGACAATGCTGCTCATGCTCTTCTAGTCCCACAAGCACCAAGAAAAGGGCTGGCTATAAAGGCAGGGGTCAACGATTCTCAGTGAGAGGTTGATTTAACTCAACCACCTGGGTGAACCTGTCTAATTCATTTAGTCACCACACACACATACACACACACACTGATGAAACCATTCCAAGTTCATTAGCCTGTTTTCTTTGTAAAATGGGGTAATTCCTCCATCAGTAATGGTCTAGTGGTTAAAGAATGTGTATGAAGAGCACTGTATGAAGCAGAACTAGAAATAAATGCTCAAGATTAGTATCAGCTCCTTTTAGCAGGTCATTATGCTAGTCAAAGGGAACCAAATGGCTCGAAAATCAGAGCCCTCGCAAAGACACCCAAAGACATTTATTTGCTAGTCAAATACATTGCTCACTGGATCAAACCAGTGGGCACTGTGGTTACCTTGATGTGTTTCTGCCACGTCTAGCAAAAAGCACTGAAAATGTACCTCTTTCAAGTAGATCAAATAACCATTCTTGGAGATGGGAAAGAAATCTGTGAAACCAAGTCAGACTTGCCACCAAGATGTAGATGCCATTGATGCAAATGATGAGCCCAAGAGTAATATGGTCAAGTGCTTAGACGTGTTCTAAGCACCTTACATACTGTTCTTTACTTAATCCTCAAAGGAATATCAGAGTGTAATTACTAATACTGTTACTCTGACATACAAGAACAAAACTGAGGCCCAGAGAAATTACATGATTGGACTATAGGCATACAGCAAAGAAGAATTTGTGTCTGGACCCCAACCCACATTTGTCTTATTTCAAAACCACTCTATTCCACTGCCCCTCATCTACTATTATTCTCTTGGTCCTTAGGGGACAAAACCAACTAGTAAGACCTTTGGGACCTGAGTATTTTGTGCAGCACTTCATGTTCAAGCTTATAGATGGAAATTCCTAGCAAAAAGAATATTCAGGTCACCATCAATTAAAAAACACAACAAACTATAATGTTATTTTGTAATTTAAAAAGTTCCCTCTCATAACATGGCATAATAGATGAGAAGATATGTAGATAGATATTTCAAGTAGTAATTCAATGATGTGCATAGATCAGATATTAGTCCTCTTGCTCTAGAGAAGAGAGTACTGAGACTCAGATCAGGTGATCTGTTCAAGCTAACACAGATGATTCCTTCATTAGAGAAGCAGAAATTAGAGTCTCCAATTACTTTGTTCACTTCTCTGTTTATTTATTTATTTCAGGCCTTAGTATCTGCCCTCAAAAAGAAAATGGCACAGGAGAGACACTGTGTCTTTGGTTCCTTGTGGGTTTCTAAGTAAATCATTGTGTGGATAACAGCTAAGAACTGCCTCCTTGCACACTGTGGTCTCTCAGTAAAGGTCACCAGGTCAATGAACACTAACAGAAAAGAATTCTCTGGCTTAACAGCAGAAAAAAAGTCTCTGGCTTAACAGCTAACACCTCACATCCTCAGAGCAGAAATGAACTTAAGAATCCTTGTCTTTCTAATTTTCTCCTCCCAAAATGATTTTCTCTCTTTGCTGCTTGCCGGAGGATTTTAGGGTGTGCAGCTTCTAGAAGACAGAGTGATGTCCCTAGAAGTATCCTGAGGCTGGATGGAGAGGGTGTGTGGAGATGGGAGTCAGGAGACCTGGGCTGTAGGTCTGGCTCTACAATTAACCAGCCTTTTGATCTTGGGACACTCATCTAACACAGGGAGCTTCGCTTCTTTATTGTACCAAATGGGGATCTTAATAACCTCCGTATGTATTGTCCTGGTGAATAATAATCCCAGAAATGCAAAAACACTATAGCTTATATAAAAACATTGAGCTGAAAGTACATAACATAAATAATGGAAACAGAAGAGGGTCTTCTGGGTCTATAAATCTAGTTCTTTTATCCAGCGGGCCTATTTCCCAGTTTAGAGGAAATAAAAAACAAATAAAGATAAAAATCTCAAAATAGAAAACATCTAATTAACGAGTACCTAAGGTGAGACAAGAAGATGTATATTATTTTACTTAGTTTTCACAACAATCAAAATGACATAGGCAGTTTGCAGTTGAATGAATTAAACTTTAGGTCAAATGACTTGATCAAGTTCACACAGCCAGTGTGTAGCAGGGCTGGAAATCTAGCCCGTATCACTGTGACCCCAAGATCCATGTTCTCTCCATCACATCATGCTGTGTCCATAAAAAAGAGCAGGCATGAATCATCTCCCCCTTTTCTCTCCCAGGGGCTGAAGTTCTCTTTGGTCATCTCAAAATGAACACACAAAACTGGCATTGCTCCATTCCTTTCTAAAAGGAATTACTAGACCAGAAACTGAATATTTATTTCCCCTTTCTTTAGATAGCTAGCATTTCCAAGTCTGATATGATATCTTCCTTAAATTATTTGAAACAATGTGAAGGTCTTTCTAAGGTGGGCCATGCCAGATACACCAAGAATGACTAACGAAAATGCAAACAAAAACAGGAATTGAGAAAAACAGGAAGCCCTTAAATTAAGCCTAGTTACTCTCCACTTCTGGTATCCAAGGGTGGTCATGTCACCATCCCCGGTTGTTAGAGTAGGAGTATCTGGGAAGTCCAGAGTTTGGCCCCTTTAGTTCTGTTCTTTGAGATTTGGCAACAGCAGTACCATGCCTAAGAAGAACCTTGCTCTTAGCAGAACCCCTAGTAGGTCCTGATAAGGATTCTTTACATGCATGGTACCACTGGATTTCCACAGCCCTACGTTTAGATATCTAGTTCATGTTTTACAGATGGGGGTCACTTAATTTCAGAGATGCTAAGTGACTTCCTTGATATTATATGGCTAGTGAGTGAGAAGTCCAGGATGAAAATTCGATGCAACTAATGACATTTTAGAAATACTGATTAGAGGAGGAAAAGCAACCAGGTATGTAGAGCTTCTCAAAGTACTCTGCCTTCTTTAGGATCATTTGAACTTCCTTCCCCTATTCTATTAATGGACGTGGTGTAGGGAGGCATGTGGTGTGGATTCATAGCTTCATTAAGTAGTCCCCATTGCCCATGTCCCCAGCACCCCTGATATCAGCACAGAAGCTGGAGCATGGGGCATTCAGCACGGATATAATTAGACACCGATCAGAAAGGGGCGAACCTTCGTGCTGTTGCCAAACCACCAGAAATACGTAAGGGTCCCCAGTTGACTGGGCCACACAACCGCACTGATGTTGACCTCCTTATTTCTTATGGCGACAAATGGAACTCGGAGATGAACATGTTCCACAGGACCTGAGGGAACGAGGAAAACAATGGTTTATACTCAGTGTTTATATTCTTGGAAGAAACAAACTTTATCATATTCCCAGGTTCTTAGGCTCTTTACCATCATCTCTAAAAAAACAAGGATGAGAGACTCACAAATCTTGAGGGGTGTGTGCATGTGCATGAATCCTTGAAATGAAGTACCGCACATGGTAGGGAACTCAGATCAGGTTTGGATTTTCTTGAGTGACATGTGAAGTTAACTTACATATGATGAGCCCAACCACAAAGGCTTATGAACCTCCAGTCCAAGGACAAAGCCAGTTTACTAGACACTTAGGTAATAAATAGGCAGACACATAGCCTGTTCTGCGATTTGGGGCAAGTGCAGCCTATGGAGGGCTCTTCCATTAGCTTCCATTGTCAGCATCCTCTTTAACAACTGGCACCTGTGCTTGTCATCATTACTCAGCGGGTATCATTCAGAAGCTGGAAAGACTGTTTTACAAAAAGGAAAATGTAAATCTCCATAAATCCAAGGAAAAGCAAATGCCAGGTTCCCAAGTACAAAAAAAGCTGTTTGCAAAAAGTGACCAAACTTCTTTTTCCTCTCAGAAAACTGATAAGCAGCACAAAGTTCTAAACTAGCAAGTAAGAGAACATACACGAACACATACTATGCATAACAAATGAGGATTTTGAATTTATTTCTGAAATAATATGAGAAGAATAAATTGCTGATGGAAAATGTCGATGTGCCAGTGTTGCATTTATGGGGTAGGCTGGTTATTTTTTAACTCTCTGGTGGGGGGCTTCTCTTCCTCCTTTCCTTTTTGTTTTCTTTTCTTTCTCTTCCTTTCCCTTCTTTATATCCTTCCTATTTAACTAAATCCAATGGAAATACTCTAGCTGGCTGTCCACATGATGGTAGAGCACATTCTCCTCCTCTCCACCATGATAGTTTTGATGAGCAAAGTGACTGAAGGTCTCAGCTGCAGCACAGACATCACCATAGCCTCCTGGCCTGGGGCCTGAAGTTCTGCCCATAGATGGGACATTTTTCAGGCCACCCAGCCTTCACTGTTTACATCCTTTGTCATTCTGCAGACAACTCAGTTTAAAGGGAAGAAAACAGATGGCTACTTCTCATCCTGCTGTGGTTTAAATTTAGCTGTATGATCGTTTCTTCTATCTTAAAGAGTCTCAAGCCCACACAGACTATTACCCTGTCCCCTGCCTTCTTTATCATTAAAAAGAATGTGACATGTGGATATCAGAAGTACCATAGAATTAGTTATGGTTGGCACTATTTCTACAACCACCACTACCATACTGTTACCGTTCCATGTGAATCACTGGGTAGAAAGCTCAGGAGAGTGGGCATGCTTCTGAGTCTCACTGCGCATATCCTGTGTCACAGGTAAATAATGATAATGGGAGAGAAGGTGTTTGGATAGGGACTACTGTTTGGGTGAGGAGACCAGCCCAACCTGCTTGTTACTCTCTGACTTTCTTGCCTGAGTCAGCACCAAGTGGTCAAGAATCTGTATATCTACAACTTGAAATACTCTCTACGTACAGCTCTCTGACCTGATAACAGATATACAGCCCCTCAAGATTCCCTCCAACAAATAATTTCACCTTGTCACTTCAGAAACACATTCAGCTGAAGGTCTGATTATTTAATATAGAAGTTGTTTTTGTATGGTTTGATTGTTGGTGAGAGTAAGCACAAGGTGTGAGAAAACCCTGGCCACTCTTATTGCTTTATTTACTCATGTTGAGGAGCTTATCTGATTTATGTCTCTCTCATTGTTTGCTTTTTGCCGGTCATTAGGGTAGAGAGTGAGGTGGTAGGACGGCATCCCTGGGCAGCCCATGTCCTCAGAGGAGGATAAGAAACCTGTGTCTTCCCTGAACACCTGAGACCTTCTCCAGGCCCAGAAACAGACTGTGTTTCTTTCATTCTTCCCTTGCTGGAAAAGGGGCCCCTTTTATCCACAGAGTCATAATGCTCTGGTTCCTCCCTCTCCCCCTCCCAATGCAGGAAGCCCACTTCCTGGCCAGCTCATGGGAAGCCTGAGTTAAGCAGTGATACCTAATCTGTGTGGTACTTGGTCACCCAAAAAGATAAAAGGAGAGCTCCTCCTTCCTAATCTCATGCTAAACACAAAAGGGTGGGTTTCTACGGAACGGAACACCATCAGACATGACCACCTTTTTTCCAACTTCAGGACAAGCAGTTTTGGGGAAAATGCAATCCCAAAGAACAACACGTGATAGCTTTTTAGGGCAAAGAATCTGAGCCAGAAGCTCAGCTTCAACCTTAGAGACAAACCACGGGTCAGGAAGAAGAGAGCTGAATGATTTGGGGAGGAACAGAGCACACTCCTAAAATCCTCACTGTCAAAGAGGGCTCTTTTTGATAAAAATCTAATAATCTGTGCGAGGCTGGTTATTATGGGCGGCTAACAACTACTTTTGTTAGCTAATGGCCCAAGGTGAGGCCAAGAGCAGTTTCCACTACAATAACTGTCTGGTAAATGCAGCCATGATTGATTTGGAGGGAATTATGAGCACGATAAAAGTTTCAAGGAACATTTCCTCCTTCACGCACATAACCCACCATATAAACCTGTTCCTTGCTGTTGTGTTTTTTTTTTTTTTTGCCACTAAGTCACACCGGTCTTCATGCCCTGCAAATAAGGCCCACTTTTGACAAAATTAGGAACGAGGGTGGGGCAGGTCACTGGAATAAAGTAAATTTTCTTTGCCTTTTTTTTAAACACAGCAGAAGTGTCCTGCAGAAATTTAAGGGGAAACACTCTGTAATTACTGTAACAGGTAGTATTTATCAGGTGCCAACATGGATGCTAAGGGGCATTTTGTACACTGTGCAGAAAAATGTTAACATACACCTGAAATTGCTATTCTTGCAAAGACCTGTGTGCAGGATTGGTCCCTTGCTGGTTTCTGGGAACTTGGCTCTGGGAGTGTTTCCAGTCAACAGTGAACTGTGAGTGGTTCATTCTGCCTAGACTGATTTTGCCAACAAAATAGCTTATTCCGAAAACCTCCTCTCTTAGGGAGTCTGGAATTTTGGCATATGCTAAGCAGAGGAAGGCTACCTGGCCAGTACCCACTAAAAGCCATGCGTACTGAGTCTCCAAGGAGCTTCTCCGGTAGATGGCCCATCACGCATACTGCTAGAACTCACTGCCGGAGGAAATTATGCACAGGGAGAAGGTTCTCAGAAGCTTGCACCCAGTTTCCTCCCGGCTTTGCCCTGTGGCCCTTTTCCCTTTGCTGATCTTGCTTTGTCTCCTTTCACTGTAAGAAATCACAGTCTTGAGTATGACTGTATGCTCAGTCCTCTGAGTCCATCACCAAGCACCAAAACTGGGGGAGAGGGGCTCCTGCACATACACATAATCCAAGTAGATTCTCATAGTCTCCCTATAATCCAAGTATTAAAGATGAGGAGTCAGCAGTTTGTAAAGACTAAGAAAGTTGGCCAATATTAGACATTTAACAAAAAGATATGATCAGAATTCAAGCACAGCTGTTCCTTGCCCTAAAACCTTGTATACCACCCCCATGGATTTCTGATCTGGAACTTCGGGCACAGAGTGGTTGGGGTAGTGTGTTATCACCACCTGAGCAACTGATGACCCATTTCTAGCATACCTGCCCTCCCCCACCAGAATGTGAACTCTGCAAGTAGTATCTGTATTGTTGTCCCAATATAGATGCCATATATACCAATATATCAATATAGGTGGCATACCATGTACCAACTCTACAGGGTCACATCCGTACTGTACTGCGGTTTCCCCAGTGCCTAGCAATGCCTTGCATATATTAAGAACTCAACAAATATTTGTTGAATAAATTAGTGAATGATCAGGTGTTTGATTTGTGCTTTCTATTTGCTGTTACAAAAACCTGTGAAGCATGGTACCATTACAATGAAACCATTTAAAAACTGGAGTGCAGAAGACCCAGAGAAGAATTCATTTATCTCATGGCTACACAGCCTGGCATCTTTATGGTTATAACTGATCTATAATTCAGGTCTTCTCCCATGTACTTCCCTTATCACTGTTGGTCCTTGTGCTATTATTGTTACCAGAATTCTAGGAGACTAGCCAGCTTGCTGTTTGCCAGGGCCTCTTACGTTTGGGTTGTTTATACAGAGGAGTTTATATCATCACTGAGCTGTTATTAAGAAAGCTGCTCCTTCACCATATGTAGCATATTACCCACCCAAAAAATATTGTGGGGTGTATAAATAAGATCTGTTGAGTCCTTAGACCCATGAGCATAACTGAAAAAGGTGTGGGGAACCAGTTCCAGCCCCATAACAACATCTCTTTGACCCAAATCAGCAAATGCACAAAATGCATCCAGCGTAAACAGAATACCTGGGAACTTGAGCTGTTGTTTTGTTTTGAGGTATGCCAAGGAATAGCTGTTAGCAAAGAAACACATTCTAGGACAACAAAAACATTTTGGAGAGTTCTCAGAACTGTTTACAATAGGCATGAACTTGCAGTAACCTTGGATGTAGGAAGTAAGTTCTTTTGTGTGTTCAGTTCTACAATTAAAAAAATATCTAAACAATGTGCTTCTTTAAACCTTCTATGGCTCTTCCAAAAGAGATTAACAATTAACTTGGATTCGTGCTGCCTTCACTCGTAGTAGCTTGAAAATGAACCTGTGGCTGTGAGCCAGATAAGTTTCCTCTTCCTCTGTTTTTAGGAGTCGCCAAAGCAAAGGGAAGGACTTTTCCCTGAATGTGTGCCTGCATGTGTACACCTACATCAGAACCTAAGGGAGCTGAAAAGGAGGGGCCAGTTGGTAATGTTATCCAACCTTTCAGAGTAATCAATCTACTTCAGTATCTGGAAACTCAGAAACACAGAGGAGCACAGATCTCCGTCACTGGGGCTGGGTCATCATTTGGAGTAGTAGTTACACCAAACCCAGCCTTAGCTCTGAATCCCAGGTGGTCTGGACAGAGGGAGTTGTCCCCTGGGAGGGAAGTAGGAAAGGGGATGGCTCATGCTACTTACAAACCACGTGCAGGAAGAGGACGGCTGTGTCTGAGCCCAGGCTGTTCTCTGCATAGGCTGTCACCTGGAAGATCCCTGCACTCTTGTACACGTGCTTGACGCCATCCTCGATGGGGCTGAAGTTAGCATAGGACACGGCGATCCCATCCCCAAAGTCAAGCTGGATGTTTGTCCTTTGGAGATCACCCTGCAGGGGGAAGAGCAGTTGGTGACTCCTATTGGATGCTTGATCCTGTGCCTTCACTCTCTAAGGACCTATGGTCTCTCCCCAGGGGCTGAGTCACCCTCAACACAATCACCAGACTCCTATTTGCTATTCACTAGGCACTATTGGCAGACACTATGACTCTGTCCCTGCATGCCCAAGCTTGGGGCAGCCTGAGGTGGTTGACACTGGCAAGAGGGCATCAGGCAAAGCCTCAATGAATCTCTGAAGTGGGGAAGCCAAGGGCTCCCTTCTACACATGGTCAAATTATTTCTCTTCTGTGTCATAATAATAAAAGTGCAATAACAATAACAGCTAACACTTACAAAGCTTATGTTTGGTTTCATACAATTAATGTACTCACAACTCCATAATGCAAAAAGTATTAACTATTCCCATTTCACAAGTGGGGACAAAAATTAATTAATTAGACCAAAGTTTCACATCTAGGAGTGAAAGAGCCAACTTTTGAACCCAGGCAATCTAGTTTCCCTAGTTAATGCTGTCTACTACCATGCTGTAACTATCATTGTTCCTAGTTTTAGTACTTATTATTATGTTCCTAGAAGTATGCTAATCACCTAACACATATACCAGCACCTTCAAAATAATTCTGAGGTCAGATGACTACTCCCATTCTACAGATGAATAATGAATGCCAGCCAAAATTACATCTGGGTTCTGTTGTCCTTGAATTTCTCTAAAACCTGCTGAAGCCCCCTATTGCCTGAATCATTTTCTGAACAGCCAGCTCACAGTTGTCTCTGCCTCTTGGAAGCAAAGAGCCCCTGGGTGTGCCTGAGGATGTGAAATACTAATGGTTCAGGTGAGCACATGTTCCTACCCCGAGCCAATGCTCAGCCTCTTAGGAGTAAATGCTGAACTCCATCCTTGCTGTCCTTCCCCCCACTGTATTGGGACAACACTTTGGATAAAGGCAGTTGGTCCTGACCATAAAACAAGAATCCCAGATGAAAAAGAAGAACCAAGTCTCTGTTAATTTACAAAGATGGTTGATGGAATAAAAAGAGAAATATATCATTTTGGAATTATGAGCCAATCCTGCTGCCTGGTGAACGTGCGTTGATTTCAGCTTCTGTCTCTGTCCCTTTCCCTGTGGCAATCCAGATGTGAGCAAAATATTGATAGGTGCTTCCTTGCCCCCACACAATGTCAACTACCCTTGAGTTTATGAATATAAATTAAAGTGGAAATGAACAGGAGGCAATTCAAATGGATAAGATCCTGGCTCTTCACACTCATTCAAAAGAAGGTTTTTATAGCAGTAGTCTTGGAGACTCCCTAGTGGAAATGTGATAATGACCTCCTCTGCATCTTCAAGTCCTTTAATTCAAGTGCCTAGTGTGGATGAAGGCTGAAGAATCTGTCAACCCAGGATAAGGAAACTTTACTGTCCTGTCCAGTGTGGGCCAGACTTTAATGGTTTCTAAAGTAGTCACACTTGGGGGAAAAACTCCTGGCCTGCTTTGGGCTCTTTCCAAGATCTCAATAGCAAAGTAATTTGCATATAAATGTAGAGGGCTTGGTAAATCAGGCAGCTTTCTTGCTCCATGACTTCTGCAAGGAATGCCTGAAAATGTCCCTGGTTTGGAAAGAGATGAAATGGCTCAGATAGGGAGCAAGAAGCACATGACAGAGCGATTCCAGTCTGGAATGAATGAATGCAGTCTGATTTCACTGCCCAGACTGTAGAAGACACTAAGAAGTGAACTAATGGAGCAGGTAGCTGATGGAAAAGCAACCATATGACATTCCTTATAAAAATAAGTTTAAAAGATTTCAAGAATCTTCCTCCACCTCTCACTCATACTTAGACCCTCAGAAAGTCTTGTGAGCTTTTCTAACCACTGGGGTGAAGGGTTAGAATAAAGCAAAAGGGGCTCCTGAAAGCAGCAGAAAAATGTGAACTCCTATCTTCTGGCAAAGTTTACAGTACGGCCTTATGGGGACAGACATTCCTTCAACAAAGCAGGCCCTAAAGGGGAGCCTCCAAACATGCACCCAGATCTGCCTCTGCCCAGGGACAAGTGGGCCTCCTTGCAGCCTGGTGTCTGTTGTGGGCTGAAGTGGACAAGGGCCTCTGAACACCGGAGCCATCTCCCACTCCTTCTGTCTTCTCCCAGAAACCTCAGCATCTCAGCATGGCTTCAGGACGGGGGCCTGAGGGAACATGGGGTCTTTCTTCCCACTTTGGAAAGAGGGAATGGCCCACCCGTGAGCTCTGACCTCAGAGAGCCCGGACAGCACCTACCTCCTCCATGAGAATGACGAAGGTTGCGTTGTGCCCCTGCTCTGCCACCAGGCGTCCGTCGGTCGTCAGCACGTGGAGGCCCCGGGGAGCTTTGCCAGGGCACATCTGGGCCTTGGCAGTGTACTTCTCCCTCAGCCCGTCTGTGCAGTTGTTGGACACAATCCGCCGGTACCTGGGGGGTATTAGCACTTCCCAGTGGTGGGGTTTGTGCAGTACAGGGGTGTGTGTGTGTGCATGTGTTAGAAAGAGAGCAAGAAATCAAGAGGGAGACAGCTATTTCACACAGCTGCTCCTAAAAACTGAGTCTCAGAGAAAACAGCCGCTTAGGAAGCTAAACAAAACCTGAGGAACCACTATGCCTCCATCTCAGGAAGAGTAGCTCTTTAAACATTATTAATGATTCTACCTGGTGAGCCGTGGATCAGACTGGCATCTAAACTGGCCAAGAAAATCAATGTCTGACTCATACACAAGACAGGAGGAGGCAGACGCACCAGACTGGGGAAGGAAGAACAGCAGGGGCTCCTCTGTGTGAGGGAGGGACTTGCCTCTACTTCCCTGAGGCCATCTCGGAAGGTCAGACTCCTAACCCTGACTAATCAGAGGCCTCTTCCTGTTTTCCCTCCACCCACAGGACCTCAATCCATCCCCTGATACTAACAGTCCTTACCCTGGAGCCACCAGGGTATTATAGAGCACATTTTCTCTCCTTGCTAATATTTCACTTCCCACTTAACACAAATGTCAGACTAGATGCAGCAGTCTGAAACTCCTGTTCAATGCTGCTGAGGTAAAATGACCTCAGAGAAGAAGTCAGCATGAGAAAACATCTCCATAAAGCACAGTGTCCTTCTTGGACAAGGGCATCTTTGTGCACAGTGATGCCATATCATTTAGTTTGACCACCGACCCCAGCATGAGAAGTCAAGCCAAGAGCTTGCCCACAGCATGACAGACATTATTGCTAGGCATATCCCTATCTATAAGGCTGGACAAAATCAACATTCTGGTAAAACCATGTAACATAAATGCACCACCACCACCACCATCTTCACCATCACACCATGGCCTCCTTCACCCTGTAAGTTAGGCATAATTAACCAGCCCATCCCTGTTGCCTTCTTCATGGCCTTGAAAGCAGATTAAACCAAATTCTGCATGAGTGATATTGGTCCTCCACTGTACCTGCTATTTCCCCTGCCTCGCCATCCCCCCACATACTGCTGAACTACCAGCCCTACATATCCATCCAGACACCCCAGGAGGATGTGACCACAAACGTTGTATGCAGTTTTTGCTTCAGTGGAATTATACCTTCTTGTAGATATACATTATTTTTAATTGCCAACTGAGCTCATAACAGGTCTGGAGCTGTGTCGTCCAATATGTTAGCCACTCTCCAGCTAGGTCTACTGAGCACATAAATTGTGGCTAGTGCTTCATGTTGAAATGGTAATATTTTGCATATATTAGGTTAAATGAAATACATTATTAAAATTTACCTTTGTTTTAACTTTTTAAATGTGGCTAGTAGAAAATTTTAAATTATATATGGGGCTCATATTACAGTTCTTTCAAGCAGCACTGGTCTACATAATCAAACTTTTGTAATCAATTTATACTTTCTTGTCGACCTGTAGTCACTTACAAGATATGTAATTTTTACTTATGATAGACACTTTGGTGGGTACCATATACTGATACCAACATGATATCATCCACTCTTCCTCTTCAACCTCGAATGGCCAGCGGGTTGACAATTCGTAATATAAGCCACTTTTAAGCAACCTAGAAGTATGTGGAGACATTTGTAATAGCTCATTTTAAGAAATAAATAGTCTTTCCCTTTCACCAGCCTGATTTCTTTGGTTGGCTTTTTGGCATTCTGGTACACCTACTTTGCTTACAATTGAGTCCACCAAAACATGTCCCATAATCAAGTGTCCTAATGTAATTCTCTCCCAATTATGTCCAAGATATGCTCAGCCTGGGAATTTGGTGGCTGGTTGATCACTTGTACCCATTATATTCCTTCCTCAAACTTCATGGCACTTTGTTCTCTGACACCACGTATCTTTATGTTCTTGTTGCTGAATCCATAGTTTGAATGGCTTAAATCCCTAAACCTGACACTGACAATAAAATAACATCAGAAGTCCTTAACCCCAGCTCAGGCCCCGGGATAGCCCCCTAAGAACCAACTATTTGACTTAAAAATATCATGTTTTTCATGTTACGTGTTGAGTAGCTCAGACCACTCAATGCATCTTGCCATCATGTTTGTTTCTCCTTGGTAGACATCATTTGGGTGGACAGTACCTACTACTATTTTACAACCAGGTAGTGTAAAAGTACTGAAATGGTGAATAAGTTGTGTGAGATGGCAGAAGGTCCACTGGAAGAGCTGAGACTGAGACCCAAACACCCTAGTCCCTTACTACTCAGAGAGCAGTTCTGGGACCAGCAGTGCTGACATGGTGTGGGAGTTTATTAGAAACAAAGAATCTCAATTCCACCCCAGATCTCCTGAATCAGAAGCTGCCTTTTTATAAAATCCCCAGGTGATTCACAGCACATCAGAATGTGAGAAGTTCTGTCTTAGACCACCAACCCACTTTCCAAATCTGTTCTGTGCTATGGAGGGGGTAAAGGAATTGGGAAGGCAACAGATTTCCACTGAAAAATGGTCCAAGCATCTGAGTGAGTAATTGATAAGTGAACACAGAGGGAAACACACACATAATTTGACAACTACAGAAAGTGTGCCTTGCTCTTCTTATTCCAGGAGCACCTAGGATAGGACTTCTGAATTTTCATATTAAGTTTGCAGCATCATTCCTGAGAGCTTCAGTGCATCTATTTCTAGAGGATGCTGGACTTTGTGCATACCATTTGGGATAATCTATTTCCCTTGAAGCCCAAGAAATAAAATGGCATCTCTTTCTAGAAGAGAAGTTCCTGCCAAAACAAGAGTTATGCTGTCAGAGGCAAATGGCAAAAGGTAATGAAATCTGGGTAATCAGAAATCTCTTCTGATGTTCTGAAAAAAAAATCACCTTTAGCTGAAGAACTCAGCTTGCCCCTTGCAAACAAACTCTATCTATACTCTACCCTGTTTTAATAGTGATGCTCCCATTTAAAGAAAGAGATTCCAATTCGGGAAGTAGGAAGACAGTGAGTGGAGCTCCTTCAGGCATCTTACTTACCCAGTGCTGTTAAGGTAGCTTTGACCAAGGCTGCAGTCTTTTGACGGGGATGCTGGATTATACCAGAAAGCTGGGACACACTGGCTGTCTCCATGTCTCTCATAGCCATAGTCACTGTCCGGAAAATGAATATTGCATACTGGTATCAATGTGCAAATGCTAAAATACTTGTACACACACACACACACACACACACACACACACACACACACACACACACACACATATACCCCTATAGCTACCCAAAATACTGCAGCATATCCTTTTAAATATCCCCAGTGAGGGCAAATATTCATACTTTGAGAATGGGTTTTCAGATTTAGAAATAACCCCAAGTCATTTGGAGTCCAGCCTACAGAAGAAATGGTGGGTTATCAAGTGAAGAAGACAGGTAAAAAATGGTATGGCTATATACAATGTGGCAGGTACAGAGGCTTGGGTGGGTGTGAGGGATCCTATAAGCTTAAAAGCACATCTTGGATCACAGTGGGATTACTGAAATTAGTAGATGAAAACCAAGAAGACGACTTTCAAGATCAAGATTCATTACTGTGTTAAGATTCCACATATGTTTTACCAAAATTGATTTCATAGATTTTGTTTTCATTTTTCCTGCAAATTCTAACACACACATACATATTTGCATTCACATATACACATTCAGCCATTCAAACTCTTCCCAACTATATATACCAAAGGACCCCTGTTTCCCTAAAAAAATAATAAACCAACACCAAAACTAAACTGTAGCTCTTATCCATGTTTTTGTAGAAGCCTACGCATAGGTCAGGTATGAGTCTCTTCTTTCCTCGCCATTGCAAAACGAGGAAGTAACAGACCAGACGGGAGGGGAGTGTCCCTGTCTGAAATCTGAGTGGTGTTGCCTTACTTCTTGGAGTTTCACAAAGCTCCCAGCTGCACAAATGTCAGGGTAGAAAAAGAGCAATAAAGTAATTGCTATTACTCCTGAAACCAACCAGCGTCATTGAGGGTGGCTTCACTTAGCAGGAGAATTCATGCTTCTAAGTTAAGCATCGAAGGGTTTCCTGAAACCCACAGATAGGCCGGACATTTGAATATTATTCCATTGAATGTCAATGAAACATAAAACAGCAAAGTAAATCACTCTCTCCAGACCACCCCTCCTCTAATGTTTCTGCTTCCATTTTCTTTGAGCCAAGATTTAATTAAAGTCCAATGAAAACAGAGGCAAATTGTCTATGAGTATATATAGGATAGATGAAAGGGAAATAGGAATAAAAGTTTAATTCCACATTTATTTATCAGGGAATATGTGCCCTGTCCTATGAAAGAGATGCAACAATCCCTCAGTCATTTGAAGAGGGGGCTAGAACATGCCTCAAATCCAAAAAAAGAATAGAAAGTATAGTACGAAGCAGAACAAACAATGCAGTATGAAGCGGTACGGGTAAGAAGTACCAATTGATTGATGAGATTACATAAATTACCTTCCCACTTTGATGCCACCCTACCTTCTCACCTTCTTCATGCCCACCTACCTCACTTTGAACCTTCCAGGCCAACCATTCAACCTTCTTTGTCTTTGAATGCATAATGTCCTGGACTTAAAGCACTCTGCCATTTTCTGTATTTGGCAGTTTCCTACAAATCCTTCTTAAATATGAGGGTCATATGAGGCCATCCCAGACTCTGCAGACAAAATCTTTGTGGCCACAGCATTTTGGAAGCATTGAGGCTCCAGAGATCTCTTTTGGTTTTGTTCACCCATAGAAAAGTCTATTTAGAACAGTATGTAGGACTTTGCAGGTATTGAGTAAATATTTACTGGGCGAATGAATACTCCATTTACATTTTAAAATGATCATATAGCATTTGGTGTACCTCTGAAGGGAGACTGTGAGCCCACAGTTGACTTTCCAGTGTGGACCACAGAAAGTGTCCCAAGGGTATGGGCTAGAGTTGTTCGAATTGCTATATGGAAAGGTAGAACTCAATACTAGCTTTATTATGGCCATGTTTAAGTGAAACTGAAAGAAAAGAAAGAAAAGGGAACTTATCTGTCAAATAAATTTTTTGTCATGCCTCCTGATCAATAATTGGAGATCTCATTTTGGACTCAGTACTGCACCAGCTTGTAACAGCCTGAAGAGCTGGCTTAGAATTTCATGAAGTTTGCAAGCTAATTAATGGTTATTAAACACAGCTATTATAAAAAAATTAAGTTATGCAAAATTTTGGTTAAATTATATTTAAAAGGTAATAAACACTCAAAGCAGGAATTCCTCATTATTTTGCTGCATTTACTATTATACACATTATATTGTATATAAAATGTTGTTATACATTATTGTTTTATCTGTGCTCTTGAGGTTATTTACACCTAGGCATCTAAATAGTAGGAATACTATATAATATGCTACTGTACATCTGTTCTCAACTCTACATTCACTATGTCATACTGGTAGTTTGAAATCAACCATGGTGAGAATGTTTACAACAATCAACAAATGCCACTAAATCAGGGATTATTTATTTGTTTGTTCTCAGAGAGATGGCAGCTAAATACTTACCAGCACAGCACTGGATATCTGATTTCTAAGCATTGTCTATCTGTAGAAACATTTGGGCTGTGAAATGTCTGTACTACTTTTTGAATATTCCCTGATGGCTTTATAAATTAAATCTGATGAAGGTCCTGCTAACCCAAAGAAATACTAGTAATATCAGAAGGAAGGGAACTCTCCTAAGCAGCTTTGGGAAGGAGAGAAATGTCTTAATGCTCTTTGCTAAATATAACCATCTTTAGCAATTCTGTTCAGCTCTGCTACCTGTCAGTGATGCAGTGATTTAAAAAGGTGCACCAGGCATGCTGCTTCACCCCAAAAAGAAAAAAATACCTCATTAATATTTAATAACATCAAGAGAAACATCCCCAGCTGCCCCCAAGTTGTGGACTTCTTCATTAACTTCTGCTAAGTGTATATTAAAATCTCTCATACTGCCCAACATCCCTCCCAGCTCTGGGCTTTGCATGATTTCAACAAACAAGCAGTTCCAGCTGCTGTTTCAGCTTCCTGGGGAAAGGTGTTTTTCTGTTGAATCATGACATTTGGTGAGACTGTGCCAGAAAGTTTGATTTGCCTCAGGGTAGTATGCTGCCACAGCTTCTGTGAACACTCAAGCAGTTTCCTTCAAGAAATAAGTCACCTCTGTGTATTTCTTGACTGTAAAAGAGTTTAGAGTTTCTAAAAGTTTAGGGGAACACTTGTCCATTTCAGGAGCCTGTATTTCCTCCAAATTCCACCCCAGGAGAAGCTTTAGATGATCTAAAGAAGCAGCAGAGAGGACAGCTTCAAAAACCAAAAGGCTTCTGCATGTCAGAACAGGCAGGGACGCTTATACTCCTTGGGCTCATCCCCTCATTTGGGAGATTCGAAAGGGGAGGCACAAGGGGAGAAGTGACTTGTTAGAGATTATACGTAGTTGACAATGGCAGATGGAGGAGATAATTCAGTCTCCGGAGCCCTGGTTCAGCATTAATACAATCCCAGGGGCGCCCATTTAATCCCCATCAGGGAGAGCCTCGGGGTTCCAGGGATGACATTCTGAGACTCTCGGTGCCAGCCAAGAAGTCCTGGTCTCTGCTGGCCCAGCTGCAGGGCTGTATTACTCTCAGAGCGTGCACAGCCTTATCACTGAGCCCCAGCATCTCCATTCTCCCATTTGGCAGTTGAGATTACAGGATCTGTACTCCACAGGTGTCTCTGTCCCATTTTAGGAAACAGTATAACATGATGGGGCTGGGACCGGGCAGATAGAGGATTTTGGCAGGCACATAGTGAACACTCAACAAACAGAAACAACCACAACAAAATAATAACAAAAACAATGGAGTAATAATTAACATCATCATCATTTAGCTAAAACATAAGCCTAAATACAGCCATAGAGAAAGAAGATAATTACATTCAAACCATTTCAGAAATCATTTGAAAAACCCAACTATCATCCCTCAAATGTTTCTTCTAATCTAATTCTATGCTACCCATTTTCCCTTATCCGTCTACTACTCAACAACTTTCTCATATATCTGCTTTCTCTGAAATATGCCCATTTTACCTGTACTTAGTCAGCAGCAAGTCCACACAGCTTCATCACCACCTCCTACAAGAAGCCTTCCATCCTTACTCCAGTCATTAGTGATCTTTTAGCTCTGATTATTTCTAGTACTTACAGGTAGGACCAGTGCTGTGGGACAGAACTTTTTGGGAGAATGGGTATATTTTTTATATCTATGCTATCTGATATGTTAGCCACTAGCCTTGCATGACTACTAAGCAGCTGAAACATGGCTAGTACAAGTGAAGAACCACATGTTTAACTTTATTTTATTCTAATACAAATAACCACATGCAGTTCTTGGCTCTTATATTGGATAGCATAGCTCTAGATCACAAAATTCAGCACCTAATTATACTCCTTATTATTTGCTGTTATGCCTTCTTTGAGCTCCATAACTCTGGTTTATACTTTTGCTTTTTTACAATGTCTAGTCTATAGAAAAAAACAGGCTTACTTGTACTCTATATGCAGAATACTAATGGTTGAATGGGTTTTGGACACCTGAATTTATGTGCTGAAAGGCCCTAAAATCTCTTCCCTTTTCTCTTCTACACGACCACTTGATAAACTTGCTCTGTGGATATGGAACTATATTGGACATGGAAAGTAAACACTAAGACATATTAAGATTTAGGATTTTGAGGTCATAATATTATTATTTTGAGTGAGTTACCTAACTTATCTGTGTCTCTATTTTTTCATCTATAAAATGCCTATAATAATAGACTCTCCTTCCAGGGGCTGGTTGAGAAGACTGAATAAGACAATTCAGTCTTCTCAGCAAAGTTGCTCAGCGAAAGTTACTGCTGAGACAGCAGTTGAGTGAGTGAGGAAGCAAAGAGAACTATGAGAATTATCTCTGGTTCAACCTGGTTTCTCACTGAACAAAGACAATGGGGTCTCCCACAAGCAACTCCTTCCTAGGAGCCCTCCTATGACTTCAGAGCAGGCCCTTTGCGCTTTCCTTTCTGACTACATGCCGGTCTCCAGGGAGGTGTTGACCTAATTAAATAATTACTGTTCAGAGAGGACTTCTTCCTGCCCCTAGCCAGTGCCATGACGGGGGTTGCTGCAAAGTGGCTCTCTAGCAAAAGCAGGAAGCTGGGGAATTTATGAGGCTGTTAAATAGAAACCTCAGTATTTATGCAAAATTCATATTTAAGATCGACACAGGTTCTGGACACGAGCGTGAAAGTTGTGAAACGCAATGGTGTTCTACAAATAAACACTTCTGAGTCTCTACCCAGCCTTTCTCTTTAAGCAAAGGAGGAATTTGGGGAGAAAATGTCTTCTCTTTGTGAATCCAGGCTGCACTCTTTTGCTTTTCCACCAAAATCAAGACATTTAATCTGTCCTCCTCAGCCTCCATTCCCCTGGCCACTAATCTAGTTAAACTAGGTTACACCCTCTCCCTGCTGTTTCTGAGACTTAAAAGTTGCCTGGACCAATCAAATGAACATGCCCTAATTTGTTTTTGGGAAACAACTAGGTGGAATGTATGTAATTGCTTATACGAACTGAGCTGGGCTTATCAGATTCCTTACCTAATAACACTTCCAGGGAGGAAGGACCATTGAGAAAGAGGCCAGGCTATGAAACTATGGCCATACACTGCCTTCCAGCATGAGCATTACAGACAGACAAACAGACAAGCTATAGTTGATGGAAAAACTGTACTTTTTAAAACTATTTGATGCCTATGCTAATTGATGGTGACTTAAAAACAAAAAGGGCAATTTCAAATAGTCCCATTGTCCACAAAAACACTGAATAAAAACCAGAAATTTTAAATCAAATGCTCTTCCACACTCAAAAGTAGTACAAAAATACTTTTTAGGCAAAGTGATGCGTTTGTTGTTGCTCTCAGACTGTGCTCAGTAACCCAGCCTCAAGTCTCGTGTGTTTGCTGATCCTACCTCAGACTCATGCGGTTTTTCTATCTTCTCTTTAATATGAGGTATGATTGGCTATAGAAAGGCAGACAGACCTTATGTATCCCCCCAAATTCTATGAAGTCATCTTGCACACCATACAACTCTTACAACTCCATTACCAATGTTCAAATCTACCTCACTTATAACTGTTTGAGAATTAATACAACATTCTATACTAAATCTCATCCACAGCAGTTAACTGAGGTCATCTGAAGATGAGTTTCCATTTTAGAATAAACTTGAGGACCCTATTTCTTGTGAAACAGAAAGTGAATCTAAAATAACAAAGATTTGTTTGATTTCTCAAGAAGTGGCATGATGTAGAAGAGAGAACGTGGGATTCAGCTAGACTTGCATTTGAACCCCAGCTCCTTTTCTTTCAATTAGGCAGCCTGGTTAAATATCTTACATTCCAGATGTTTACTTTCTCCTCATAAACAACGTCATGGTAATGATGCTGACATTATGGGGTATTGGGCCCCGGTGGTACCTCTAACAATGCAAGTGTAGGAACCACAGAACACCTTGCTAGAGTTGCTGCTTTTCTTTCCTCTCTCTCTCTCCCTGCTTTATTACAGATGTACTCTGACAGCAATTCCCAAAGGGTCCACACATATTTTAAGCAATGCCACCAACATTGAGAAGAATGGATAACACCCAAGGTACAAACTGGTAAACAGTGCTCATTTGTATGTATAAGCCTTTGGTTTACTTGCTAAAAATACAACAGGGACCACTTAACCCTGGGATACAAGATTAACTGCAGCAGCAGCAATAGCTATCGTGGATAGCTACACCACTAGGATAAATGCTTTACCCACATGAATGATGTATATTAGTTCATTTATTCCTCCCTAGGAACCAATGAGATGCATGTTATATATTTTAGCGCCAATGAGATGAAATCGTAGATTAAGAAAATTTCCTAAGGTCAAAAACTGTGATGATCAGGGCTGGATTTTTTTTTTTCCAGACTAGTAAATGTTCATGGAATTACTGAAAGAAAAATATTTATGTTACAAATGTTCTTCCTTCTCAGTTGTGAAGTTTCCCAACAATGGGTGGGGTTCTATCACAGCTCAGAGACACACAGGAGAAAATGTAGACTGACATGTACAAAGACAGTGCGCCTCCACAGGCTCAGTCTGCAGAAGGACAGAAGGAAGCCTGAAATTCATATTCTGAATATTCAGGTTGACATCAGTATGCCGCATGCCATAATTCTGAGTGGCCCACTGTACACATTGTGTGACTATTTTACTGGATCGTGGTTAACAACTGAAAATTATTCTTTCCAAGTGTGAAAATATCCTTCATTTCCAAAGGGTCAAAAGTACCCTGCCATTCAAGTTAAATTCCATTTTGAGTGTCCCATTTGACTGATCCTCACTGACGTCAAGCTTTCCAGGCGGGACGAGCACGTAGGGAGTAGTCAGAGTCATTCAGCTGGTTTGCAGTTACCAGTTATAGTCCTGGTGGAAAGCGGGATACCAAAGATGGCTTACAGCACAAATCAAGCTTAAGAAAGGGGCTGAAACAGGATGAGATGAGGATGGTGAAGGGGATGAGGCTGCTGTAACCACTTGGACTTACTTCTGTTATTTCACAACAGAAAAGCCCAAATGCAACTCTGCCGTTGTCCTGCTGCTTCCATGTTCCTAGGCTGATGCCTGAGCCCTTAGTTTTGTTTAACCTGGGATGGGGTATGAAAATACCTAAATCGAACTTCAGCTTTTGACTGGGATGCAAAGGAAGAATTCATCCAGCTGGGATCAGCGCGGGATCACCAACGGGATCACCCATTCTGAGCACTAGGGAGGTTTTTCAACTCTCCTAACATGAACAATTAGAAGAATGGTACAACTATTTAATGCTTCCTATGGGCTAATCGCTGAAGAGGCAACAAAGAAGAAAGTTTAAAATTCCGGCACGGATAGCATTTCCATTCTACTGCGGAAAGACAGGTGGTAACAGAGCAATCAGAAACCATGATCACTACAGGTGGTGACTAATAATCTGTATAAAATAGGATGATATGTCAGAGAGTGCCAGGGTGCAGATGGGATTAGGTGGTCTCAAAAGGCATTTCTGAGGAGCTGATATTTTTGCTGGGACATGAGTGATCCAAAGGCACCAGCCATGCTGAGAGTTGGAAGAAACCCTTGCCTTTGCTGTTTCCTCTGCAAGAATGAGCCCAGATTAATGAAGGCGCAGCAATGTGGCTGCAAAATGGAGAATTAGGAAGAAGAGTAAGAAATCAAGGCACAACGGTAGCAGGCCAAGGAAAGAAGACGGGATTGTCCTTTCAGGGAGAGGCAGAGCCATTGCCATGTTCTAAGCATACAAGTGATAAGATGTGACTGGGACTTTAAAATACAATTTTGGCTGCTGTGAGGAAGAGAGATTTTAGGGTACAAAGTGTGGAAGCAGAGAGAGAGAGTAAGTAACTGCTGGGGTAATGCAAATTGCACTTGGCTTGGGTAGAGAACTTTGATTGAGGACATGTTTGGGAGGTAGGAATGGTAAGGACTTGAGGATGGTCTGGACCTGAGAGTAAGGGAGAGGAAAAAAAAACAAGTTCTGGGATTTTGGCTTAAGAAACTGAGTGAATGTCTGTGTGCTAATATTACTGAGTGTGGAAAAACTGGTCGGGGTGGGGCGATTCAAGAAGAGTTGAAAAACTGCTTCCAATAGTGAGGATTCAACAAGAGTTCTGCTTTGGCCACATCAAGTTTGAAATCCCATTTCATTAGCAGTTCAAAGGAAGATGGATGCTGAGTAGGTAGATGGATGCAAATGTCGGCATCCTAGAAGAGAAGAGGCCAGAGCTAGCTGTAAATATTTAGAAATTTGTATGTCATTGGCTAATTGGTGAGATTTAAAGTTGTTCTTTGTGATTGTCATTAGAGGGAGACAGAAAGTGATGACAGGAGGGAGGTCACATGCAAGAGCACAATTTCAGCTGACAGGTCTGCAGGCAGCTGTCCAAGGTGGTCACTCCGTGACCTCTGTCAGTGCCCAGCCCAAGGTCTCTGGTGTTTTCCAATGCAGCTGCTAACTGAAGATGAGGTGCAGTCCCCTGGACATGCTGCTCTGACGGGACAGTGATGTTCTCTGTGAAAATGCTTCCTCCTGTCCTCCTTTCGGGGGAGGCACACTTCCCACCTGGCCCAGAGGCAGGAACAGTCAGGCCCGCAGGCCTGCGCACACACCTCCCACCTCTGGGTCACACTTTCCTCCCTGACTCCAGCTTCATCCTCAGCCCCCAAACATGTAAAGGTCTGGCTGGAATCAGCGATGACGTATCAGGGACTCACCACTCGAAGTCCCAATCAGCACAGGCACAGGGTTCTGACACCACCGTTCCCGAGGAGACTCGGCCCAGGGCACACTGAGCTCCTGGTCTGCGTTTTTTGAATATTTTCCTTTCGCCCATGACACATGGCTCCCCCTAGAAATGAACCATAGTGAGGAAGGCAGAAAACACGAAGATGGTGAAATAAACCAGCTTCTCCACAAGAAGCAGTAGCCTTTTCATTCTCTTTTAGTCATTCTATGTAGCGATCTCCTTCCTGGTAACCATTTGGGAGTTTCAGGGATGAGAGGCCTAATTTTTTGCTACCACACAAGGACAACACTACCAGAGGCTGGCCTGCCACTACGTGTCCACACAGCCAAGCCAGCGAGGTCCACTTTGTCTTGCTCCTGCTCGGCCTCTGTGGACAATGCAAAGACTCCAAGCATCCTCACAGACCATGAGGCAATTGCCTAAATGGCTCTACAGAAATTCTAGTGGGAAAGAAACCACTCTGGTGTGTTTATCACATCATCGTCAGAGTAAAATTGAATTTGGCCCAACAAATTCCTTCTCTATGATAAACAACCAGGCCTAAGCCCTTATTCCCAGGAAAGGGCAAAAAAGGAAGGAGAAGTTGGGACAAATTACAAGGACCCAAGAGTTCTGAAGAACAGAGAAGTTTGCCTAGGTTGTATAGCAGTATCTGCCATTGCCAGAGACCCTCACCTTTTCTCTGTGGTCCTGTTCCCAAGGCTCTTGGCACCCTTACTTCAGGCTAGACTGAGAAATCTTCTTACCCTCCCCGTTGTAAGGTGAGATGATCAGACCACTGGAGGGTTTCCTAGCTGTCTGGGCTTATTTCTCCATGGATAGAGCTCAAACCCCAGGTAATCATGCTCACCTCTCCCGAGCTTGCGCAGTGACCTCAATGAATAGCTCAGGATTTCAAGGTGTAAAATGGCCCCAAAATACCTTCTGCTTCTGGACTTGGGTGTGTGGGGTCCAACACTTCCCCCAAATCCCCTAAATCCTCAGATGGCCCACTGTCTTCCTCCTCCAAATAGGAAGACCCAGATATGGCCACACAGGGCTTGGGGCTTGCAATGGCTCCTCTTCCCGGAAACAAGGATCCCCCAGCCTCTGCTATACCTGATTGAGCAGGTGCCAGGTCTGGTAGTCCTCCTTGGTGCAGTGCCTGCTGAAGATAGATCTGTAGTCCACTTTCACCAACTGCCATTCAGAGCGGAGACTGAAGTGGCCAAAAACTCTGTGTTTAGGGGTGGAATGGGAGAGACAAGCAGAGAGAGCCCCTCAGTCAGTCACTAATGCACAAAACTGGAAGGAGAAAGGGCAGACAGAATTGGACTTTACTGGTTCTCCCAAAGTGAGGTTTTGGAAGGCTGCTGAGGAGAAAGCCCACTGTCTTCACAACTCCAGCCAGCTGGCTGGTAATCACAGTGGGTTTAAAACAAACCTTTTTTTTTTTTGCAAAAGTAATACATGTGCTTTCAGGAAGTACTGAAAATATAGACAGGTACAGAGGAGGAAAAAATTCATCTAATAGTCCAAAATCCTCCACCAGGAAGAACTGCTGTTCATATATTGACATATAGCCTTTTTGTTTCTCCTTAATGCAAGAACCAGTACTTATCTACTGACCTCCACTGAAATGGACTCAGTTTCCTCATCTGTTAATCATACATGTTGAAGGAGGCAGATTAGCTGAATATGACCCTGCCAATTCCAAAATTCTAACTGAACCTAAGTGTGTTTGAGTTCAAGTTTCTATTGCCTAATTCACATGAATACCACTGACCTTCCCCTCCCCTGAAAAATCACAGCAGTCTCATAAAAGGAACTCATATTTACGTACAGAGAGGATGTGTACCATCTGCGTGACTTAGACAATCAATATTGACCTTTTCAAAGCCCAGAGGCAGATAGCCCTATAAATATGAATGATCAATCATTTCTGGAAAAATAGAAAAAAAGACTGATGGTTCATGCTCCACTCGGGTGGCCCGTCTTGTAATTATAATGCAAGGCATCTATCACAGCGATGGAAAGGGGAGACCAATCATGCCAGGAACCCAAACCAATTGAAGTCTTTCCATGAATTGGATGGCTTATTCAAGCTCCCAGCCCTGGATTCTCCTCTCCCCAAGTTCAGATATTCTTAGGGAGACAGCTAAGAGACTAACTCTCCTCAAGGGCCACTTCTTTCTGCCATCTGGAAGATCGGGATGCTTTGGGAGGGGTAGAAGCTAACTAAAATTGTGGAATGGAGAAAAAAATAGGATTGTTTTATAGATCACACAACCTTGACTACACCTCAGGAAATGACTTTTAATATTCTATTGGTTGGAAGTTACATAAAAATTTTTAGAGTCCTGTCTAAAGGAAGAGAAAACAGACTTTGAGGGAGAGATTAAGGCTCTCTCCATTAGTAAAAGTGTATGGTCTTTGTATGAATCTTAGCTCAATACTGGGTAGCGGAAGCCATGGGGCTACAACATCTTGGATTGTGTGTCCAATACCATGTGGGACAGAATGAACTTAAGCACCCCCAGGTTCTCTCTGCATTCTGGCATCCTTGCTATATTCAGTGGTTTTCAAATCCAGTACATCCATGCCAGGTCTCCAGTAAGGTATTTCCACTTTTTAGTCCTGATTTATTTCATGGAGAGGTGATAAGCTAGCCCATTTTTAATCGTTAAAAAAACAGTTGTCTCTTATCAAAAATTTCTACTGCTTTGAAGAAAGGAGAGTTAAGTCAAAAGATCATCAGGGGAAAAAATTAGTGGGAAGAAACCTTGATAAATGTCTTCTTCTGTCACCATCCAGCCTATCCAAATTCTCCTATATTCAAATGCAGCTCCCCTAGTAAGTCTTCCCTGATTGGAGGATCTGAATGGAAGGATTAGTGATGCTAAACACTTCTGCCTACTCCAAACAGTTTACAGTTATTTCATGGATCACAAAATATATCATGTGAGGTTAATCCCATTCCTTTCTAAGGAAGGATTACTAAGCAGAAGAGCGAACTATGAGGCCCATGATTTACCTGGATATCAGCAAGGCTTGAGATAGGTCTGCCACAGTAGTCTTGAAAAAAAGTTGAAAAAATATGAGCCAGATGCTAGTAAAATTATGTGGCTGAACAGTACCTAATTAAGGCATTAAAATCAACCAGGAAGGAGGGTGTATGAGGAGTCAGTTGCAAGGTTCTGCTGTCTGTTCTTTCTTGTTCATCATTTTTATTAATGACTTAAAGACATGAATATAAGGGTTATCACTGGAAATTGCATTTCCTGATGACAGAAAGCTAGGTGACAGAATCAAGACACAAAAAGGTCTTGACAGACTGAAGAGACAGACTGAATTTAATAACATGTGACATAAACAGGGAGAAATGTCAGGTCCACCCCCTGGCAGCTACGATGGGCAGCTCAGGTTAAATAACAATAATAACAATAATAGTAATAATGGTGGCAGCTTAAGAGTTTTCCTACATAATGTGGTTGATATAAGTAAACACTTCAGAGAGACCAAAAATATTTAAGTTGATCTTAGAATGAACTAACTAATGCAGAATTTTGTACATTTATCTAGAATGAAAGAGGCAATATCCCGGTCTATTCTACATTAACTAGATCACAAAGGAAAATTACAGTTTGTTTTGGATATCATCATTCAAGAAGGGTATTGATTAAATATCTTAATCCAGAGTACACATATGGACTTTGGTGATGGTAGTAGAATTTGAAACTCCTGAAACTTTAAATAAAATATGTATTTATCACCACACATGTATTTATCTATGGAGAAATTACATATACTTAACCAGACTTTCAAAGGGGTTCACAGCTTCCCAAGTTTAGGGACCACTGAAATAGAAAGTGATTAAGGTGTTGTACTGGATTGACTCGTGGCTTCACAAAGAGGTATGACCATGTTATAGTCCCAGAAACCTGTGAATGTGACCTTATTTGGAAAAATGTCTTTGCAGGTTTGAGTAAATCAAGGTTCTCAAGAAATCGTCCTGGATTATCAGGGTGGGCTCTAAATGGCAACAGTCTTCATAAGAGATAAAAAAGAAAGACATGCAAAGAGGAGAAGGCCATGTGAAGACGGGGGCACAGCCAAGGAACACCTAATGCCACCAGGATGGAAAAAGTACACAGATTCGAGTTCACCCCTAGGGCACGGAAACAGGTACAGGACTGCTGCCATTCTGATGGTGAGAATGAACTTCTGTTCTTTCAGCCACCAAATCTGTGGTGATTCCTTACAGCAGCCACAAGAAATTAATACAGATGGCAATACGATTAGAGACCACTTTTCATCTATCTAAGAAGTGGCGAAAGAACTATGGCTGGTTACCCTGGAGATGATTTAGGAAGGGGCAGGGGAGAAAAGATAAATAAGTAGGCATTGTAGGGATTGCTCTTCATATAAAAAAATAATAAAAAGTATAAGTGTGAATGTTTACAAAATATGAGAGATCTTTCTAGTAGACAGAATTGCCCACAGAGGAAAGAGATGCTCAGGAGTTAGCAAGCACAGAACTTCAGGCTCAGGCCTAACCCTTCCCCAGGGCCGACACTGAGCTGCATGGCCTAATGGATCCTGAGCCTCTAGGAATGTCCAACTCTTCGGGACATCTGTTTCTGTTATCAGAGGGATTATTCCAGGACTGAACACAAAAATAGGTGCCTGGTCAGGACTCGTGGACTCACATGGACTCTTCTCTCTGCAATCTTGGCAGGTATACTCCTTTTGTCTGTATTTCTTTGGCTTCTATCCCAGATTTCCTTACACTGTGTTTCCCAGGTCTTTCCTCAAACTAAAAATTGACACACTAATAGTTTCCCTGAGGATTGTGCTAGTCTGCCCTCCCACACAGTCGATCTCATATACCAGATGCAAAATTTTAAACATTTCATATTAGGATATAAGCTTTGCTCAATTTCTCATTGGACCCCACCTAAGATCAGTGGGGTAAAACCCATTAGCAACTTTCAGACATTAATGTACTTCCCGTCTCCCCATCCAGTATCAGGGCTGGGAAGAAAAAAGTTCATTCTGGGTCCCCTCCTGAGGGGCACAAGGGACTCTGACACAGCATCTCTCTTTGCATAGATACAGCTTCCTTAATTCTGTTCAATACTGCACTCATTCATTGCTCTTCCAATTAGAGCTCGTGGGCACTGAGGAAATGACAGAAACACAGTAAACTAAGCAGGAAATAAAACAAGCATGTCTCATCCCTTTTTATAACTACCCAATGAGCAGTTCTTAAAATTCGTAACAGAATCTGTGGAAATAAGAACAGAGCAGAGAAATCAGGGTGCCCATCATCAGAGACCACGTCCATCACTTTGTTGATAAACACCAACAAGGTCTACCTAATTCTGGTTTGGGAAAAGAGAAAACCCAGACTGCTTCTAATGATAATAATAATAAAATAAATAGCCCAGATAAAAGTTTCTCATCTGCTAGAAATGTTACTCTGAAGTCAGGGAGCTTGTCACCAATAAAGTAGGTATGGCAAACTCATCCCCATTTGCAGTACCTTTTTGGGGAACAGAGTGGTTCATCTATCAGTTGAACATGAAAACCCAAGAGATGGGTAGGGTGAAGGAACCAAAGGTGCGGAACATCTCTAAGAGGATGTGATTCCCAGTAAGAAGCTCCTTCTTTCAGAAAGTCTTCTGTGACTGTTTCAGCACCACTGAGCTCTCTTTCCTTAGAAGATCAAATGTCCCATCATCTCTACACTAGAAGTTCTCCACTCTCTCTGTCAATAACACTTAGAGGGCTTGTTAAATATAGATTGCCTGACATTCGGAGTTTCTTATTAGTATGTTTTGGGTGCCTGATTATTTGCATTTCTAATAACTCCCCCGATGATGCTGATAATCCTGGTCTTAGGACCACCTTTTAAGAAATGCTGCTCTAAACAACTTACCCAGAAATTTAATTTTCTTGTATCTTTGGTCAAATTTGTATTAAACAATTAGAAAGCTCCTTAAGGTTGAGAATGCTTTTGTTCCTCTTGGTATCCAAAAAGCCTTTTAAGAAGTATGACAAAGAATGACTGATTATTGAGTGCCAATGGAACAAGGCAATCTTACAGGGTTGCTTCACTCTCAAATATTTGGCAAAAAAAGCTGATTTCTAGCATGCCCAAATCCACTGTCATCCACAGTCCCACTTCCTTACAATTACCAAGATAAACTAATTTGACTTCCTTCTTTAGAAATG